GCGCGTACGGTCCTTCAGTAATCCACTTGCTTTCAGATGTCTGGCAGGCATGACTATGGAGACGAGGATGAGCGATCTGAAGACGAGGTACATGGTGACGGAGAAGCGGGGAATAAGAGCGGGGGCGCAGGTGGTAGTACCAGTACTGCGAAGCGGACGCCGCGAGGTACGTTCGCCAATCGTTGTCAGTGCGCATACAATGCTCAGCACGTCGCATACAGCCTGCGACAGGTGTCGGAAATCCAAGAGCAAATGTGAGCCTGCAGCAGGCGGGGGAGACCGCTGCAAGGGATGCGTGGCGGCGGGCGCAGGTGCGAGGGTATCTCCGCTTACTACTATCTTGCTGCTAAGCATGCCTCCTCTGCGACATAGACTGTTTTTCTCAGGTATGCATATAGAGTCTGTCCCGAACGAGAGTGTCCCAAACTCCGCATAGGTCCCCTCCTTCCGCGAGGCCCGCCAAAGGGCTACATCAAAGCGCTCGAGCGGCGGCTTCACCAGATGGAGAGTGTGCTCGCCGCCATCATGTCCTCCAAGGACCCGCGCACGACCGGGCTCGTCGCCGACCTACGGCGGGACCCTCTGCGAAGCATTCCTCGAAGGGAGTTGACGCTGGTCCATTCGTGCGTTGTTATCTCATACGCTCCTGGCCGCAACTCAGTCGCGACGACGCTCGCGTTCCCAGGGACCGAGCGGGCGAAAGCACGGTCCGTCGACCCTACGGAGGACAACTTCTTCGCGTCGATCGTGAGCCCGACTTTGCGGCAGCAGAGCGAGCGCTCGCGCAGACAGTCGCGCTCCACGCGCGAAAGCGTCATACAGGCGAGGGAAGGTGAGTGTCTTGTGCATTGGACCACATATATGCAAGCAGCGAACCGTGTCGGCAGATCCTGTTGCGACTGAGCGACCGACGCTCGAATGGCAGGACCGTCTGTCGGAGTCGCTCGTGCGGTGGGCTCAGTCACGACAGGCTGCAGACCCGGTACCCAGTGGATCCTCGCGCGTTCTTCCCGTTCGCCATGTTGCTCGTGCCCGGGACGATGGCGCGGAGCCCGCACGGCAGAGACGAAGAACGGTGGCCTCAGCGCCAGGGCACGACCTGTCTTGGGACGATGTACATGGCACTGCAGGTGAGGGATGCACTGTTTTGTAGCAAGACAAGTGATAGATCGGGCGCCACAGACACCGATTTAGACGAGCTGGACGACACTGCGGACGCCTTCGGCCATCTGTCACTAGACGAGCATCGTGAGGGTGTGCTCTCGTTGTTAGTCCGTGCGTGAATCGAAATTGACCGTCTTCGCCTCAGGTTCGGTATCACGCAAGTTGAGTGGCATACACTGCTTGCGGAGCACCAGCGTGAAGATAAGCGCAACTTCGGCGGTATCTGGTATCCATGGCTGCCTCTCTCCGTGAATACCCACTTACACCCCATTGTTCGGTGATCACAGGAAATTTCCTATGTCGAAGCTCTGGCCCCAGCACCGTCCGGCGAGACGGAATTCAGCATGCGCGAGAAAGCGAGGCTGAGGGTGGAAGAGAGCATCCCCGTGCCACCGGTGGATGTGCAGCTGCACCTCATACGATTGTTCTTCACTTATGTGAACACGTCATTGCCTGTGTTGGACGAGGAAACATTCATGGAGCAATACAATGCAGAGTCCGTGCTTAGTATTTGTCTTGACGTCTACGCTGATTTGACATATGATGACAGTATTAGCTTGTCGGAGAGCGCTATTCCCCGCCCCAGTGGCACTGATCCAGGGCCCGCCGTGGAGCCAGAGCGAATGCAGAAGATGTCGAAGTTATTGTTATTTTCCGTGTTTGCGTTTGCGGCACAGTACTGGGACACTATCCAAGCGGAACAGTATGCGGCGAGTGCCAGGAGATTGCTCGGTAGGTGACTTCGTTCAAACGTCACCTATAACGCAGCCCATTGCCTGATATTGTTCGATTGTCTCAATATAGACATCGTGTACCACGAGAGCCGGACCTCGACTGTGCAGGCTCTGGTCCTCTTGGGAGTGCGCGAATTCGGTATTGGTGGGTCTATACCATAAGGTCGTCATGTGTTCTCCTGAACGTCAGTCGACTCAGCAAGCGTGGAAGAAGGCTGGCTGCATGTCGGTGAGTCACTTCTGCCATTGCCAGAGCCTCGCCCAAGGCGCTGGATACAATGCGTTTGGCAGAGCAGCAGTGTACACCCCTCATTGAGATGAAGACTGCTGGTCTGTCGTCAAGGGAGTAGACAAAGCTGAACGTTCTTCTTACCAGGTATGGCCGCACGAATGGTACGATTCGCAGCGCGCCAGAAGTTTCGTTGCACGATTTGAATAGACCGAACATAGGCCTTTGATCTGGGCCTGAATCGTGATTCTGAGAAGTGGCTCAACCACGGGCACGCAATGTTCTCTCGCACGGAGCAAAACATCCGGAAGAAGATTTGGTGGGCATGTTGCTTCGCAGACAAGTTAGTCCTCGAGAATCTCTGTGCACGAGTACCGCCATCTCTGATCTATGCGTCCTTAGATATGCATCACATTTTCTAGGTAAGTCTCTGAATCTGCCTTGTACGCGCAGACTGTACAGTTACCTTTAGGGAGACCGGTGATTGTGCACGAGGCCGATTTCTCAACTATGCTTCCTCAGGTTACAGAAGTGGGTACAGACCGTTCTGTCCTTTATACATTCATAATCATCGAACGCATGGACGCGAAACGTAGGTGGAAGACGAAGTCGCATGGGCACCGATGCACGCGGGTTCGCAAGGCCAGCGCATCACAGCTACCCCTGGGTTCGGCAAAGCTACCATCGGCAGCGCAGCATTGAGTATGTCCTCCGAGTAACCAACGCCTTTGAAGCTGTTGCCGATACATAATCCAGCTGTCATTCACGGCGAGATAGTCGAGAAGATAATCCGTCACTCGTGTCGATCCAACACCCGCCGAGCTCTCATGGAACGGATACATTCGCGGCTGCTCCAGTGGTCTATCGATTTACCAGAGGTCTTGCGTTATTCGTCACAGAGCAGACAACCATGTCCTCCGCCGCATGTCCTGGTCCTCCACATTCAGTTCTGGTCAATGATGTTACTCTCCATAGACCATTGTAAGTCTTAGCACGCGACACGACCCGTCAACATCTTACTCATTTATCGCTACTATCAGCATCCCGAAGGGCATGCGTCAGTGATTCTGATCACCATTGTTATATGATTGCTCATCCTCATCGACTACAGTTCTAAACCCCTCCCTCGCTTCCTCACGACGACACAGTGCCCTGGAAGTCCTACGATTTCTGTCAGGGCGCTGCTTCCCACATCAGCGCCTTCGGTGAGTCTTGCTCTTCTCTACTAGTACTACCAATTTAAGACTAAATTGCGCTAGCTACGCTGTTCAATCGCACTATACATCCGTTGGCCCTCCATTGATCTCCTCGACTATTCAAAGCGCAGGGTAAGTACAGAACTACAATGATTGTGGCGAGCATGATATGAAAATTATGCTACCCATCATGCATGTCGTTGCACTGAGTTCAGTCCTTGGTACCTTTCTTCAGTAAATCTAATCCGGACTATCGAAGTGAGGTTACGATCCGACGATGCTCGGGCAGCCACAGGCCTTGACCAGTGCATCAATGTTTGCGAACGAATGCGTGTAGGCTTTTCCCTAGACTTGTTGTAGACTACAGTCTCAACTCCTTGCTGTAGGATGTATGGCCTACTGCCGCTCGGGTGGCGGATCTCCTCCGAGGCGCCGGAGTGCAGATAGCAGTGGCATTGACCGAACCCGCCGGTCCATCGCGGAAACGACCTGTTGAGATTGTACTCGAGGAGTACACTGATGAAGCTGCAGACGCCGCTGAAGCGTCGCAGATGGTCGCCTCCGATGTGCCCTCCGATAGGTATGCCGAGGGTTCTCACTTACGTCCTATGCCAGCTGCTGTGCCGCTCCCTCAGCCGCAGCCGCATCAAGACCCTCAGTACGGCCCCAACTTCATGGCGGCCCTTCTCGGTCCGGACTACACTCCGGCAGCGTCTGTCGCTCCCGGATACGACTGGTGGCCACTGGTCTCTACAGCCGAATCCGCACCTATGACCCAACCGCAACAACATTTCGCTCCTACCACTGAGCCGCTCATGATGCCGTCACAATCGTTCACTTTTACTCAGGAGCAGTTCTCGCAAGACTTCTTACAAGGAATCCGCGATCCCGTCTTGCACTTCCCTGGCCCTCCAACATATCCCCTCCGTTGATTCTTATCAGTTTTCGGTATTGACTCCTTACACTGCTGTTACAGGTTCAAGCACACCCATGTGGATCAGGATTTAATGTAGCTATAGTTTTCAGGTCGTTGCGCTGTCGAGATAGAACGCCAATCTCTGTCCGGTGACGTTCAAGCGATCTGATCGTCTGCTTTACATGGACGTTTATGCCCAACTAAAGGAGGTACGTCCACTGTCTCAGCTCTGCAACGGTGTATTTTCCCACCATTACCTCAAGCGCCTCGATGTGGTATCTGTCACCAGGAACACGCTTCGTGTGCTCGGAGAGCCGGTTGCTGTATATTCTCACGGAGACAGATACCCTGGGCGATGCGGAGCCCTCGAACCCATTGGACGGTTTCAACGTGATCTTCGCCTTCGTTGGTCATCCCTTGGGAAAGCACATAGCACCTTACCATGCCCACATTGCTGTCTTTCATCGCGCGCTTGTAGGGGACCGTTGACACTTCCGTCCAGCAGTTTGGAGAGCCTCTCACGATACGCCGCAAAGGGCGTGTGCGAGTACTGTCTCAGCGCCACGGCGAGAGAGACATTCGTCTTACTGGACTAGCGTGTGACGTCTCTCATCGCCGAACTCCTCAGTGGTCGAGACCCTTCTCAGGGAGTGTCGTCGGGGTGACGGAAGTCCCGAAGCGCGGTTTCCGTCCTGTATAAGCCCCCGTAATCGTATGGTAAGACGGAGGCACTGCGGCGGCCGCCATGGGTGCCATCATTCCACGGAAATGTCTTTAGCAGCGGCGGTCATAGTACATAGGGAGAGGTGAGAAGCTTTGAAACTCACCGACTCTTTCGCCCCGGGACTACGACACTTGTCAGCTTTCAATTCTTCAGCAATGTCCACCATACAGCGTATCATACAGGCTCCCGGACGCCTGGTACGGAGCTTGAGCACGTCTCCATCCCGGAGCTCGGAGAGCGGGCTCCCAAAGTTCAACGCCGCGCCGAGCTTCAAGTTCACGCAATCGCCGAATCCAGGCTGGAAATGGGGAGAGGGACTTGCGCCTGAATCAAGCCCGTTGGCGAAGGAGTGGAAGGAGGACGAAGCGAAGGGCTGGAAGAGCTTCACGCTGAAAGAGACGCATGGGAAGTGAGTGCAATCGTCAGTACCGGAAGGTCTCGGGGACTGACTATGCGTTGCTTGTTTGTAGGGACGTATACATGCTATTGACCAGCTCAATCATCCCTCGACCCATCGCTTTCATCTCGTCGTTGTCGGCCCAGGATGTACCCAACCTTGCGCCTATGAGGTGAGTGCATCGTCGTCGATATTGTATCTAGGGACTGATAAGTGACCTTTAGCTATTCTCTTTGGTACGATTGATCTGCACAAGGGCTGTCATGACGGCGCTCACACAGTTTCTCTCTCCAGTTGGCGCACGACCCGCCAATGATTGGCGTGTCGTTCGCAATCTTCCGTGGCATCGGAAAGGATACACGTGATAACATTTTGGCGACGAAGACATTTACTGTCAACCTCATCAGCGAGCCTTTCTTGGAGGCCGCCAATGCCTGCTCGATCGACGCGCCGAAGGAAGTTGACGAATGGCTTGTCAGCGGCCTCACTCCCGAGCCGAGTGTACGTCTTTATCCATGCATTATGCTCGATCCATGATTTGATCTCGCGATGCAGACTATCGTCAAGCCGGCGCGAGTCCGAGAAAGCGCTGTCAGCTTCGAATGCGAGGTCAGTCTTCCACCGGGCTTCGTTACAGTTGCACTCACCTGATCATATGCAGCTCTTCCAACACCACGATCTCGTCTCTAACTACGGCCCCGAGATGACGAACACGTTTGTCATGGGTAGCATCAAGATGATGCACGTCCGCAACGCGGTGTTGTCTCCGGACGGCGTCAACGTCGACCCCGCCAAGCTGCGTGCCATGTCCCGCCTGGGCATGTTTCGTATGCCCGCGTCGGCGATGGCATTGATATCCGATTCCTATGTGGGCAGATAAGGGCGAGGAGGTCTCGAAGGTGGTAGAGGAGAAGAGCAAGAACAAGCTTTGAGCATGTTCTCCGTCTCCGCATACAGATCGCATACCCATTCACGTAGGTGCTGTCTGTGGGATACCGGTACATCATCCTATTTGCACAGCTGTCGTTTCCCCGTTTCTGATCATAAGCTGTCATACTTATTTCGCGGTATCAGTCTACTCCAATCCGCCCAACCAATAACGTCTCAACACCCATCGGAAAGCCCTCGTGAGCCTGGACTGCTCCTCACACTGCGGAAGACCTTGAGTCTGTACTATTGATGACAAGAAGATAATGCTTACCGTTGGACACAAGTACTGAGGCCGAGTGGAGTCTTTGTTGCATCGCTTGAAACGACATGGCTCGATGAACTCTGGTTGCCCGCAATAGCAACACACATGTGAAAGCCCGTCTTCATCTACTAGGATCTCGACTTCATGTGCCAGCTCCACGCCGCCCGACTTATCGACCATCTTGCGTGTGCGTCCGGTTGGACGTATCACCGGTGGCTCCGCTTGAAGCAACGCGTTCAACATGCCCTTGGGCTCAGCCTGAGAGGGTTGAGATCGACGTCGCAGTCGAACCATATCATCGGATGCCCGGAGGAAGATAGGCCAGGCGCGTCTGCTTCGTTGGACGAAGCGGCACAATTGAGAGTAGGGCCTCTGCGGTCGTAGGCCATGCCATATGGCCTGGCAAACACGAGCATGTACTGATTGCGATTAAGACTGTCTTTACGCGCAAGTGCGAAACATAGTCCTCCCTTGGCATACGCAGGAGTTACGAAGCTGAGGATGGGCATGGGAGGCTGCAGGGATGATAGGCTTTCAAGCTCAAGCTACTTGCAGAGGGCCCCGTCACTTAAGGGAAAGGGCTATTATGAGAAGGCAGTGCTATCATGAAGGCCCGACAGTGAGTCTCGGGACAGTCGGACTGGAGAACGCTGACACACCGCCATAGTGTGAGAAGTGTTTTCATCACAGCCGCGAGACTTCCAAAACACTGCAAGCAGTGGCAGTGGAGCACAGCGACTCGTAGTAAGATCGCCTCTTTCGGGACGACAAGAGCTGCCAGCTTGGACATGGCAAACGGTGCCAGCGCGCACGCACCATGGAGGACTCAAATCACGATCCCGACTGCAAAGCATCCGCCTGGTGTAGAGATCATTCCCTCGATATTCAGAGACTTTTACAGTCACGAGTCCGGACAGGTTAGTAATTGATTTCCGTCGACGATCACCACATTACAACACATCAGAAGACAGTCTCAGTCCACAGCATCGTCCATAAACCCAGAAGAAAGAAACCACGCGGCACACAGCGGACAGATCAGAAGTACAGGCCGACCCATCCGTTCTTCGACTCGACGACCATCTTGTCCGCGCCGTCCTTCTCGCCGACCCACGGGAGCTGGTCGGCGATCCGCGGGATCGCGTCGTGCAAGGGGCCGGAGGCAGTGAACGAGCGCGTGGCGAGGTCGACCGTGCCGCTGAACGCCGCGTCCTTGTACGTGAGGTAGAGGTCGCCCGTGCCCTGCACGCGGTGGGTGCTGTCGATCGGGCGGTGCGGGTGGCCGGGGTGGCTCACGTAGAAGACGTCCGTGCGCCCGTTGCCCGTCGACGTCGTGAGGTGCGCGTCGGCGGGGGGCTCCGCGGTGAGGGCGCGGGGAAGACGTGCACGTTCAGCGCGGCGTCGCCGCGCGCGGTGAGAGCGTGGTCTGGTCCTCGATGGTGACGTCGCCGACGAGCCAGCCGCGCTGGAGGTCCATGGTGAGTGCGCTGGCGTGCACGCCGCGGTGCGGGAGGATCATGCTCGTGTCGTCGGAGCCCGTGACCCGGATGCTGAGCGAGTCGAGGTCGAGATTGGACTCGTCGTCGAACTTGACCTGTGTCGTCGTGCGCGCCGCAATGTCCAGTCGGCGCACGGTGTATGGGACATAGACGGTCATGTCGTAGCGCATGCACGACTCGGTGCCGAACTGTGGCGTCGAGAGCCGCAGCCTGCTGGCGAGGTTCTCGCCGTCATCCTTGCTCGGGTACTGTACGGTGACGAGATCGAGGAGGGCCTGGTTGTTCGTGCGGACAGTCATCTGGTATGTGACGTCGGAGGCATCGTAGTCGCCCTGTGCGATGACGAGTGTGCCAACAGCCTTGCCCCTGAAGTCGATAGAGTGCTGGCCCTCAGAGTCGACAGGTACAGAGTAAGTGATCTTCTCCGAGCCCTGGTACAGGTGAGGAGCGTTGACACAAGGCAGGGACTTGCTGAACTCAGGCATATTTTCGAGGCCGTCGGCGTGGGCTAGAATGCCAACAATCGTCACACGAAAGGAATACCTCAGAAGATGAAACCTACCTTCACCATCCAGATAATGAACTGGATGAGTTGCCAGCCGAGGAACAGCGCGCAGACAATGCCGAAGGCCTTCCAAAAGAGGCCACATCTATATTCCGTTGTCAGCCATTTAAGACGCGTTCGTATTGTCGCAGACGGTTTGTTACTGACCGCAACCCACAGCACATACAGCAATCGGCCTTCTTGCGCGTTTTCCTCGTGTTCGTGGCAGGGATATTCGTATCGAGCATTGGCAAGTCTGGCGTCGAGCCCGAGGGGCTGTGCAGAGCCAGAGGACCAGTTTCGCCATCCGGCTCTGTAGGCACCTGTCTGTCTGTTGAGTGAACTGTTAGTGTCCGTACAATTTCTTGTACATCATTGCCTCACAGTCATCCCATTTTTCCTTGAGCTTCAGCGCGGCCATCACGCCCACAACCATTCCCCAGAAAGTGATGCCCGTCGAACGACGCTGAGGGGGCATTTTGGCGTTTCAACGACAGACGAGAGTTAGTACGCAAAGGAGTGAAAGCAGTGAGGAAGAGGGAGATAGGGTGCGACGGGGTCGACACTTATACGAGGACAATACAAGGCGCAAAAAGTGATGAAACAAGACCGTGCGGTGATGCCCTTATGAGGGTGAACCTGAGCGGCTTGGTGCGTTGCCCGAGCATCACGCTGTCATCTACAGTCACCGTGATTGTCCCCGCCTAGCGTCGGCGCCAGGCACGTATGGAACAACGGTTCGCCCAGGCTTGCCCTGACCGGGGGCGTCTACGGGACTTGTGGTCTCGGCCGAATTGAGTCAAGATCGCCCAATTGATCGTCCGTCCTCCCGCCTGGAAACAACGCGCACAGAAAGTCCTGAGTACAAGTCCATCTTCATTTTGTTATTAGTAGGTTCTGTCCTCGTTAGGCGGTGAGTTCGTACATGTTCCACTTTGCTTGCATCTGTGATGCATTTGACAGCGTCGGGAATTGTTCACACCGACAGCCGGTCGAGGCTCTGCGCGATATGTCCGCACACCACCCGTCGAGATCTCGACGCGGAGCCGACGAAAGGCGCTTATTTAAACGCCATTTACGGGGGCCATCTCGATCTCGAGGCAGCCGGACATCCCGTTGAGACCGGGCATCAATCCGTCGCGCCGCAATGTGTGTGCAGGTTAGGCGACGCAGAGCAGAACACATCCTTTCAATAAGTCTACTTACGTTCATATGGTACTCACATGCATTCAATGTTCGTGGTCGTGGTTGTGGTCGTGCGCGTGCCCATGCCGGCTCACAATCTCCTCCTGATCCACCGGGTGGAAGCGCACCCTCACCTCCGCCACCTCCCTCCTCGCCCCCTTCAGCGAGCGCATGATCTGCGCTTCCAGCCGACTTGTCTCCTCCACGCTCAGCGTGCGCGGCACCTCCGCGACGAGGTCGACAAACATCAACCCGCCGGCGCGCATCGCACGCACGTCGCGGATCCCGAGCAGGTTCTCGGTGTGCGTCTGTATTTGCGTGGCGGAGGGCGTGAGCGATGATGCCGTGGAGGGTAGGATGGGTGTGAGGGACTCGACGAGGGACTGGCGCGTCCCCGCCGACACACCCCCGTCTGTTAATTGGTGGAACCCGCCAGCCAAGATCCCCCAGCTCTGCCTCACAATCAGGATAGACACCAGGATGCCTGCACCAGCACCATAATCAGATACGTGTCTCCACGCAGCATTTTATCACGGCACACACCTCCTATCGGGTCCAGCGGCAAGTGCGGGAACCACCACGTCCCCAGGATCGCGAGCAGCGCGACCCCGCTCCCGTACACGTCGCTCCGGTGGTGCAGCGCGTTCGCATGCAGTACCGGGCTGCGCTCGTCGTCCGCGACGCGCTTCGTCGCGCGGTACAGCCACTCCTTGCCCAGCACGCTCGCGAGCGCGAACCACGCCGCGTTTGGGTCCAGCGCGTGCCCGTGTCCGTGCCCATGTGCGCCCGCGGCGGGCAGCGTCTGCGCGACGGTCGAGGCGACGTCGTGGACGGGCCCCGCGGCGTGCGAGAGCGCCTCGAGGAGGAGCATGAGCGAGTGGTAGCCGATCCCGAGTGCGCCGCCTGTGAGCAGCAGCGAGACGGTCACGGAGCCGAGCACCTCGAACTTGCCAAAGCCGTACGGGTACCGCTCCGAGGGCGGCTTGCGCGAGACCTTCCACGTCGCGAGCGTGACGAAGTCGCCCAGGAGGTCTGGCGGGCACCGCGTTAGTCGACGGGTATGCTGTGAGATTCAGACGCTACGACGCACCGCTGAGTGAATGGCCCGCATCGGCGAGGAGCGAGGCCGAGTTCATGTACCACCCTGCGAGGCCCTTCGACGCCGTGAGCCCGACGTTCGCGAAGAGCCCTATGAGGGTGATCCGGCTCCCCTATCCGCTGCACCGCGCACGCTGCATCAGTCGTCTGCAGCGGGAGCACTCGGGGAGACGTACGCGGCGCACGTACCTGCGCCTTTCTGGAGGGCCTCTACGATCTGCTCCGCGTCGTGCCCATGCCCATCCTCGCCTGGCCCATGCGTGTGGGACATCCCGCCGAAGAATGATGCGGAGTGCTCATGCGAGTGTGTATGTGAGTGGGAGTGGGAGGAGGGTCCATGCTCAGGCTCGTGCGCCGTCGGCGTCGCCGGTTCCTTGCCCTTCGCTTGGCTCGAATGTGGTCGGCGAGAGGTCATCGTGCTCAGTGTGGGCACGTATGCTGCGTTCGGTATGGGTGGGAGTGTGTGTGTTGTCTGAGGGCCAGAGCTGAGCGCGGTGAAGGTCCTCCGTGCACGATCGGAGGGACCGCCTCGGACGTCGCGCTTGATCCTGCTCGAACCAGTGCAAGGAATCAGAGGCGTTCCGCGACGGGCTCGAGAGACAGCTGAGCGTCGCAGCATGGGTCAGCCAAGCCAATACGGTGGGAGGGATGTGTCAGGTGCGAAAGTCGTTCGTCGGGCAGTCGTCGTCGCAGTCTACGCGCAGGTGAAGGTATAAATTAAAGCGTCAGAATGGGAGGCAGAGCGGGTCCGTGGGCTCTGCAGACGAAGAAATGGGGATGCCGCAATCGTGGGGTGGTCGAAGGCCATCGCGCTGCAGCGCTCGGCGCAGCCGTATCGCGTCGACCTCACGGCATCCTTATGACAGCACGAGTCATTCGCCCTATAGCGTCGCGTCTATTCGTCCATAATTCAATAATCCTACAATTCGAGAATAATACATGGTAGGTGAAGAATGCCGACGATCTCCTTTTACCACTACTGAGTACAGCTATATGGTCGAGGGATAAGCATAGAGCCCCTCGAGAAGCTTGACGACTTTCGGATACGTCGGATCGTCTTTGCTGCCCACCGAGAGCTCTGCAATCTTCGGAAGATCCTCGCGCGGGACGTTGTATTCAGACAGTGTCGACTTCAGCCCCAGATCGCTCACAAGACTGCACGAAGAACAGAATCAGCCATACGCAGATCACTACGACGATCCGGGGTAGACTGGGACGTACTTGTCAATGAGCTTCGATAGCTTGAGCACGTCGCCGTCCAGAGAACCTGTCTTGTCTTGCGCGAGGTACCAGAGCGTGTTGGACAGCCACTCCTTGTCGTCCTCGGAAGCGACCTCAGCTTTGAGCGCAACGGTTGGTGCTAGCGTCAGCACTGACATCCTCTGCCATCAACGGAGATGCCTGCGAACAAAGGGGAACCGACGTACGGAAGTAATCCCATGCGGGATACTGTACGTCGCTCCTAGTTTATGGCCGAGCGCATGAGACAACCCGAGCGCGCTATCGTAGCGGTTCTCCCGTCAGCATCCTCAAGGCTCTCCCACAACTGTATAGGCGCTTACCTATACCTCTCAGCTTGATGGGCCACAGGCTCATCCACGAGGCAAGCTGAGCTTTTGTCGGACATCCACGCCTGAGGGTTCGCCTTCGAGGCGGGAGGTACTTGAAGAGGTCGACGAGCGCAGCATAGCAAGGTACTTGACGGGTGGGGGGATGAGTGGTCTGTATAGGTTCTCTGCACCTGGCTCAGATGCTCCGGGATACGCCGGCCATATCAACTCGCCTACTGCATGATCCACTGCGCGCATCCCGGTGGACAGCCTATCACCCTAGGAATCAGACACAGTACATATGGCTCGGGAAACTGCTGACCAGAGGCGTTCTGGGGTAGCGAGTGTGAGCTCCGCGTCGAGGATGATACCAGCCGGTGCGAGCTGCGGTGAGCTGACCGCGACTTTCTTCCCCTCTTCATTCGTGTACCCTGCGCCTATCTGTACAGTCGAGTCCCGATGAGACGCCGTTTGCATACACAGGAGGATTACTCACCGTGTATTCCGCCGCGCTGAGCGTAGTGGGACCGCGATCTGGCGCAAATACTCTCCGCCCGTCTCCTGCTGGAGGAAGTACAGGATCGCCTTGGACGCGTCGACGGGCGATCCTCCGCCGACGGAGACGATGACGTCCGCGCCCGACTCCTTGAACACCTTCAGCCCGTCGTGGATGCCAGCGACAGGCGAGTGCTGTCCGATCTCGTAGAACGTCGCCGCGTACGCATTGTGTTGCTTCAGCACGCCCTCGACCTTCTTCACGACATCCGTCTGCCCGGATCGAGGGATGGGCGTTAGCGCGGTCGGCGGAGCATCATAGGGGAATTGGGTGCGCACCTTGTCGTATAGACTCCTGCCGGTGACGACGAGGGCCTTGGACGCCCCGAGAGTCTTCAGAAGCTTTGGCAGAGCAGTGGTGAGCGACCCCGGGCCGTAGTGGACACCCTTCAGCGTGTCCGTCCATGCATATTGACCCTGGAGATTGGTCGACTCGTGTTGGTGTTATCGAGGCCAGACATGGTTCCTCAGTCAAGGAATTCGTACAAGAGGTTGTGCGGGTTTAAGTACGGACGGTGGTTGAGAACAGGTCGACGGACGAGAGAGTGCACATGACGTCGACCGTGTAGTCGCCATCGACATTTCCGTCCAGGTTTGTCAGCTGATAGGACATGGGCTTAGTGTACTGAACCAAGTACTGCGTGGCGTAGTGGGCGCAAGCGCAACAACAATTTCCAGCTATGCAACGAGACAGATATCCGTCGGTCTCCGCTAGACATCTGTGCACTGGCCCCAGCTGCAGATTTGTCAGCTATAGTTAGCCACTCGGATACACGCTCCGCACAATGAGGCCTTTTATGTCGCAATTTCGTCGATGTATAGAAGTTATAAATCACTATCGGCCGCTGCGCAGGTTTATGGGAGGCAAGGGGTATGTAAGGCATCGAGGAGGAGGAGGAGGGGCGATCAGGAATTCGAAGCAAGAATTCTACGCGGGCGCCTACTACACCTGATCACATGTACCGTGTTTTCGTGTCGCGACTCGCGCGCTCACCGTGACGACGCGTCACGGTGGTTCAAACTTGCGCCTGTATTCGATCCTTGTACTCGTCAAGCTTGCTTGTATTTTTACGCTTATGCTACTGGTTCCATGCCGGAATACACCCTGAAGTTCTCCTCTTCTACGGTTGCGGATACAGCCGCGTTCAAGTTGCTTGAGCTGCCACCCGACCTGAGCAAGCTGGTCGAGTCGAATCCCGATGAATCCTCGAGGTATACCTCCTAAAAGTACTATCAATCGATACCCATATCTAACATCCGTGCAGTTGGTCGATCAAGGGGAACCCTGACGAGGATGCTGTGCTCTGTACCGCAAACAAGACCTACACCATTCGCTCGATAGTTCTTTCAAACTCCGTCATCGTGGCAACAGCAGGGGTCGAGGAAGGCACCTCTACCGATGAGGCTTCTTATTCTACCTCTGTCGAGGTGCGAGATCAGCTGAACGAAATCCTTGAACTGGTGCCATCGGTCCCGAGGCTTCACAAGCTGGACGTTCTGCTACGAGGGAAAGAGTACGACGAGGGCAGGAAGGGGATGATGATATGTATATGGACGCATCTGAGGTAGGTAAGCGTGTCAGTCGGGACACTCGCGCGTTAATCGCAGGCTCATAATCCCAACCGTCCGACAGAAGTTCACGTATGAGGAGGCAAGAGCGACGTTACAAGCGAGCGACACGGAGCTAGACCAAGGCCTCAAGAAGAGACGTGTTCTTATTCTCAACGGTGTGTGGCCTCGATTGTATCGTCATGGTACTACTCAAAAGATATCACGCAGGCGAGCTTCGCCCGATCTCTCCGACCTACCTGAACGCCATACTCGAGCTTTTGCTCACCCATCTCGTCTCATTATCCCTCCCGCATGATTCCGCGTCAATAGACGCGTTGTGCTCTACACTTCAGGACGGTTACGACGTCCGGAAAGACGTCTGTAAACAGGTGATGGCCTGGTTCGGTGACATGATCGACGGCGAGTGGTGCATGGACAAAACTGCCGTTGTGCGAGAGATCGGTCTCGGCATGCTGAGGCCTTACAGGGTGCGTGGTATGCTTTCCAGAGGTTAGCTGATAAAATGATATCGGATGACACCGCAGGAAGAGTCGATACCACTCGACGAGTTCCTCACAAAGTGGCGTAAAAGTGTTGGCGACACCTTCGAGTCCGAGGTGTCCGTCGACCTCCTCTCCGTAAGCTCTTCAAAATCTGATCACCTCGTGCGGTACTGATACCCGTCCAGGGCAACTACCTCACACAAACAGACGTGCTCAAGGAGCCGCCTATCGTGGTCCTCACATACTTCCCGTCCTCCCAGCTCCCCATCGACCCCGCGGCGCGCTTCACGATCTCTTCCTTACACGGCCGCGCTGGAAGGCTGACGAAATTTCTCCGTTCCTCGCGGACATCGTCGTGGATGCCAAGGAACGGGACAAGTTCCTGCTGAAGTATACGCGTGCGATCACAGATGCGGAGGGGATATGGTACACTGCACGGGCGAAGTACAACGGGTAACTGATACAGTGCTTGCTACGTAGATGGACAGGCCGCAGCCTCGAAGACAGATGTGCATGTTCGAATCTCGTGCTGTGCTTCTCGGGTAGCATCTCAATCTCCATTCGGATGGATGTTGGCCTGTCAACTTCTTCAAAGCTCAAGCTCAAGCGCTCAAGGCTCATTATACACGCTCGAACTCTAAGTAGACGATCACGCCGGCGCATAACATACACCGAAGGGCAATGGCGTAGGCCGAGAAGAAGCCTGAGAGCAAGGTCGCGGCATTCCTTCATGAGCTTACTTGTGAGTAGCATGGTCTTCTATTCTCAGGGCACGTAAACTCCATGGCAGTTCGTAGGGAGGAGGCGATGCATCCGCGATCGAAGCAACATCCAAGGTATGATGGATATGGGATGCCTCATGGACATCTTATCGTCACTGTATCTCGGAGAAGAGAGGATGATATTTACTCATGTGCTTATGTTTCTCGTCGCATCGATGCGTGCAGGTCATGAGCGAATTGTTGGCTACGCCAGAGAGAAGTATCTAGGAAAGTCGATGTGACTTGTCGAGGTCGTCATCATTGACCTGTGCGGTTACATAACAGCTGACTTTGTACAATGATAGGTCTTCAATATTCAATCCCGATACTCGCAGTTGCCATGAGGCCCAGTCTCCCTTGACATGCATGCAACAGACCATGTCGCCTCTGCCGTCCTGCCGTGATGGAAATGCATCGTGGGATGGATCCGCTACACGTCTTCGTAAGTCAGTCCTCCTCCGGAAGCCATTGCATACCTCGATCATATCTTGCCAGCAGGCTCTCTATGAGGCAGGTCTACACTGGGTTCGTGAATATGGTGAAATCGTGGCTATATCCACTGCTGAACGCTTTCCAAGGTGTCAAGATTCTTCCAACATACTTCTGTTGCGGTCGTAACGCATCTGTAATGGCGCCGGATAGCATCGGACACTCCTAGTAATTGGCAGCCTCGATCTATGTTTGGATGGGTCAACGGTGATGAGCCCAACCAGATTCGGATTCATTCGTCACGTTGACCACATCGACGCGAGCCTTAGATGGTCCTCGGAGCAAAGGAAGATGACGCCGGTGACGTGCTACCGTACCTGCAGTGTTACAAGCAAGATGTGGCATCAGATGCCGAGCTGAGCGCTGAACTCTTACAATGAATTGACATACACGTTCATCCACGTTCAGAACAGCGAGGGGATCGCCGTCACAGGGTTCGCCGCCCGGTATCTACAGGCGATGCTGAGTTCGTCTCGCTCCCTCGCTGCTCCCTCCATGGTGCTCCTTGCTTTCGGCACCTCTCTGTTTCTTGCACGCTTTGCCCTCTTGCAAGTGCATGGGTCACAAACATTCTGGCCCTTAGCGGTACCACTTGCTGTTCGCACGCCTTATTTGAACACATGGATGTACAAGACGAAGACGTCGGATAGTCTGAACAACCAATTGCCGTCTTTTTTTGATACGGAGGTACGATCCTCAGTATCCGTGCATACTCATGGGCTGACCTCGCGGCCCAGCAAGATATTGGGTGGAATTGTTACATCCGAGTGGATGGAAAGACGTACATTGTGTTTGGCGACAACAATTTTCCGCCCAACTACACCGTGGCAGTTGGAAGCCTCGTTCAGACGGAACTGTCCCCTACTCGTACCATGCAAACCATCGAGGCTGGTCCCTTGAACATTACCTTGACGTTTCTGAGTCCCATCGATGTAGGTTTGCGACCCACAAGCAACCTTCACGTTGCTGACATCACGACAAGCCATCTGACCTCATACGCCAATCCTCCCGTTCAGCTATGCTGCCGTGGAATTCGCATCCACCGATGGCCAACACATGACATACAGATGTACTGCGACCTAACTGGACGTGAGTAGTGTCTAGCGGCACACATGCACGCGTATCGCAACTTGTGGGCTGATATTCTTCTAGAATGGCTCGTCGGCCCCACCGTGACTGACATGTCTCAAGAGATGTCGTGGAGTCCACCGACGAAAACCAGTAGCATTATCTATCATCAACTGCAGCTCGTAAATCCGGCGCCTTTCCAAGAAGAAAACGGACAAGCCTCAGATGGTGCAATGTACTTTGCGATGGGGCTGGTACATGAATTTGCTCTTTGTCATGGACTATATTGATTCATTGGCAGGACAGGGACGCAATATCACTTGGCAGACTTGCGAACAAAATGCCTGCCGCGGAGGATTCGTAGATACCGGTCGCGTAAACCCGAATGACAATAATAATACGTTTCGGGGTGTTTGAAGTAGGGGCGCTATATTCTGCTACGTACATGGGAGCTCATACATATCACAGTGACTGGCCCGTCTTCCCCATCTCGGTCGACTTGGGAAGTGTCGCTTCTCTAGACTCGCCCGTTGTCTGGGTGATTGGCCATGTACGCGATCCAAGCATCAGTTACACATTGTCAGGAAAACCCGAATCCCTCCGCCCGTACTACACAACACAGTATTCTACCACTGAAGATGCCGTGAGTAACGACACAGTTTTGTTGGCCCATGTCACTGAACTTCGTATATGCAGTTGGAGTTCTTCGTCTCCGATTTCAACACCTCGCTGACTCAGGCAAACTTGCTCGATACGCAAGTCCGTGGAGCGGCTTCAAGCATTTCGGTTGACGGTAAACTACACGACATGCTTTCGCTCGCCACTCGCCAGGCGTTCAGTTCCCTCGAAATAACGGCTCCCCATGGGTCGGACGGCACGACTAGGATCTTCATGAAAGACATGGGCACCAGTCAGTGAGTCATACTGGGTCCATACAAGCACTCCGTATCTTACACAGCGATCTACAGACGTGTCACTCCCGTGGAGAAATTGTACGCTGCACTGCCCATGTTCTTGTATTACAATGCATCGCTGGTCAAGCCACTATTGGTACCGCTCCTTGAACAACAGAACACGTCGTTAGGCGCATTCCCGTACGCATCGAAAGACCTTGGTGAGCTCTCATCACATTTCCTCGACGACAGCATGTTGATTGCCTCATTTAGGTTCCTCTTTCCCCGAAGTATCTGGTCCGAACCTGACATCTACAGAGGCAGTCGAACGTGAGCATGCTTTGCCGTAGCGACGATAACCCTCTTCATCAATAGCGGCTGCAGAGTCCGGGAACATGCTCCTCATTGCACTCGCTCACGCCAAATACGCGAACGATACGTCGCTGATCCATGATTATGTGCGTGTTCGTCTTAGAGAGCCGTGTGCTCAGCTCAGCTTCACCTGCATGCAGTATCCCTTGCTCAGGAATTGGGCCGAGTATCTGACGCAACATGGGCAATTTCCCAAGGACCAGTATGTATCATCTTCGTGGAGCGCGAGAATAGCTCACCGAGGACTCTCAGATCATCCGTCGACGACGGAAGTGACGCCACAAACTCGACCAATCTTGCGGTGAAGGGCATCTTTGCCATTCAAGCCATGGCGGAGATAAGTCAAATAGTCGGGGAGAGTGATGATTCTCAGCATTTCAGCGCGAGTGATCTACTGTGTACAACGAGTTAGCAATCCTGACGAGTTTTGGGCATGTTCACAGAGCACAGCGTCCAACTATATGAACACATGGGAATCGCTTGCCATATCGTCAGGAGGCGCCTCTGCGTCCGTGAATCAGACGTTTGGTTCGGAAATCACAGGCATCTGGTCTTTACCGTATAACCTCTACGCGCAGACCCTGTTTGGATTCAACCTTCTGAACCAGACAGTGCGTCGTTCATGTTGTTGACAGGAATTCATTGTCCTGATGTCGCCACAGTGGCTTGACAAGCTTACTGTCATGTATGGACAGTGGATCCAACCTGAAACTGGTCAGGACCTCTTTTCGTTACGCTCATATCAATTGCTCAACGCTTTCCCAGCCAACTATAGATATGGGTTGCCGATGCAGAGCGTCGCACAATCGCTTGGCAACGTAGGTGTGTCGATGTCCACCAGAGTACTCTTAACCTCGACTAACGTGGAATCCACAGCCTGGAATGCTTTCATCGCGGCTACTTGCACCAACGACACGGTCCGTAGTCAGCTTCTTGACGCGGTCTGGAACTATGCGTCATTCAATGGGACGTCGGCCCCGTTCGGCGCGGTGTATAACGTCGAATCTGGTGCCTATCAGGATGGAATGGCGAGGTCAGTTGTGCTATTCTGTGCTAGTGAGCCGATGTCTGATTCGCGAGACAGCCCCGCATTAGGAGGCCTCTTCGCCCCGTTCCTGCGCAGGTGAGCTTGTAGTATATCGCACGTATGGCCGTGCTACATCGGATGCGCAGCGGTACCGTAACCGTCTTCCAGACTCCATCGCCTCCCAGTAACTCCACCACAAGCCCTACGGCCCCTAGCGCTTCCGGATCCGGCGGGAACAAAGTCGATGTTAGCGCTGTAGCGGGCGGCGTCGTCGGTGGTGTTGTCGGTTTACTTGCACTCGCCGGACTTGTACTATGGTTAGTCCGACGTCATCGAAACCAGAAGAACGCCGCCCTCTTCGACACAACTGGCACAAGAACCGAGCCCGCGCCCTTCGAGGCTGCACCTGCTTTTGCGGCCCAAGCACCAGGTATCATACTCACGGAAAAGCAGCGCCGGGAACTCGAATCGCCAAGGGAAGAAACACCTGTCCTGCCCTCAGCCGGCTCGTCTTCCGCCATACCACTTGACGAGCCTCCGTCTGAGGGTACGATGGTCCCTTCGTCGGCGAATGGGGTGTCTGTGGGCTCGCGTGAGAACGAGTTGCTGGGGCTGCACTCCATGATCGAAGAGCTGCGCAGGATCACTGGCATGCTGAATGTGCATATCGAGAGTGCACCGCCCGAGTATACGTACTCGTGATGAGTCCAAGTAAGTAGTAGTATGCATACGCTCTAGTGCATCGTACTTTCTTCGCAGTGTGAGCATGAATTCGCTCACTGAGATTGCGCCTACGAACACCCGGCGCCCCACAATACGCAGTTGATACTAGTATTTATGTGGTCACCGCAGCCGTGCCGTGGTACTTGACCAAACGGACTGACGCTACATCTACCACGACGCTTAGGGTTCACACATGAGGTCACCTTGCGCCGAATCTAGTAGCTCAAAAAGAAGAGCGAGCTTGAACAGGCTCTGCACCTGTACCTACGCAGACGCAGACTGAGAAGAGGCGACAGCGCCTGCCTAACGACATGATCACATGTACCGTGTTTTGCGTCGCGGGCTCAAGCGCTCACGACGCGTCGGGGTGGTTCAAACTTGCGCCGATATTCCATCCTCGTACTCGTCAAGCCTGCTTGTATTTTTACGCTTATGCTACTGGATCTATGCCTGAATACCCTCTGAAGTTATCTTCTTCTGCTGTCGTGGATACAGCCGCGTTCAAGTTGCTTGAGCTGCCACCCGATCTGTGCAAGCTGGTCGAGTCGAAACCCGAAGAACCTTCGAGGTATACGTCCTCCAGTAGATTCCAGTATCTAATATCCGTGCAGCTGGTTAATCGAGGGGATCCTGACGAGGATGCTGTGCTCTGTACCGCAGACAAGACGTACACCACTCGCTCGATAGTTCTCTCAATTTCCGTCACCGTGGCAACAGCAGGGATCGGGGAAGACACATCTACCGATGAGCCTTCTTATTTGACCGGCACGAAGGTTGAAAGAATTATGTACGTCTGCCTGGGGAGAGTAGGTGCGAGATCAACTAAACGAAATCCTTGAGCTGGTGCCGTCGGTCCCGAGGCTTCACAAGCTGGACGTTCTGTTACGAGGGAAAGAGTACGACGAAGGGCAGGAGGGGGATGATGATATGTATATGGACGAATTTGAGGTAGGTAAGCGTGTCAATCGGAACACTGGCCCGTGAATCGCGGGCTCATAACACCAATGATCCGACAGAAGTTCACGTATGAAGAGGCAATGGCGACGCTACAAGCGAGCGACATAGAGCTAGACCAGGGCCTCAAGAAGAGACGTGTTCTCATTCTCAACGGTGTGTGGCCTCGATTGTATCGTCCTTTGACTACTTAGAACACATCACGCAGGCGAGCTCCGCCCGATCTCTCCGACCTACCTGAACGCCATACTCGAGCTTTTGCTCACCCATCTCGTTTCATTATCGCTCTCGCATGATTCCGCGTCCATAGACGCGCTATGCTCTGCACTTCATGACGGTTACGACGTCCGGAAAGACGTCTGTAAACAGGTGATGGCCTGGTTCGGCGACATCATCAATGGCGAGTGGTGCATGGACAAAACTGCCGTTGTGCGAGGGATCGGTCTCGGCATGCTGGGGCCTTACAGGGTGCGTGGCATGCTTTCCAGAGGTTAGCTGATAAAATGATATCGGATGACACCGCAGGAAGAGTCGATACCACTCGACGAGTTCCTCACAAAGTGGCGTAAAAGCGTTGGCGACACCTTCGAGTCTGAGATGTCCGTCGACCTCCTCTGCGTAAACCTTTCCCGTCGAATGCCCTCGTGTCGTATTGATACCCGTGCCAGGGCAAATACCTCACACAAACAGACGTACTCAAAGAGCCGCCTATCGTGGTCCTCACATACTTCCCGTCCTTCCAACTCCTCATCGACTCCGCGGCGCGCTTCACGGACCACTTCCTCACACGGCCGCGCTGGAAGGCTGACGAGATCTCCCCGTTCCTCGCGGACATCGTTGTGGACGCTAAGGAGCGGGACAAGTTCCTGCTGAAGTATGCGCGGGCGATCACGGATGCGGAGGGGATATGGTACACTGCACGAGCGAAGTACAAAGGCTAACTGATACAGTGTGTTACGTAGACGGATGGGCTGCACCGAAGATAGCTGTGTCCGGACAAGGAAGAATCGTTTCACCTTGAACGGTAGTGCTGAACAGACAGTGTCACATCCGCCGTCCTGTCATGATGAAGATGCATGGTGAAATGGAGGCGCTGCATGTTCTCGTAAGTTAGACTTCCTCCGAAAACCACATACCTTCGCTGCTTGATCACAACCGGCCAACAGACTCCGCTATGGGGCATTTCTACACTGCGCTCGTGAATATGGCGGAATCGGGACTATAGTCCGTTCTCAATACTTTCCGAGGTGTCAAGGTTCTTTCAACAATTTCTGGCTGTGCCGTCGCGACACAACCACACATTATACCAGTGCCGAATAGCATCGGACGCTCCTAGTCATTGACAGTTTCGATCTATGTTCGGATCGATCAATGGTGATGTATCAGCATTGGTCTCCTTTGCAGACCATTAAAACCGGCAAGCGTCTTTCATGGGATCCGATCGAATTCGGTACCATTCGTCACCATGAAACTGTCGGACAAACACCGGCATGGTGCTGTCAATGCGAACCACAGGGTGCTTCCCCGGGGAGTTGAATTGGCATCCCTTCATCGCGACACAGCCAGCGGCCCGCTCTGACAAGGTGCGCAGCCCTGGGTCATCAACGGACGGCTCTGAGTATTCGGTCCCACTCCCTCGCTGCTTCCTCCATGTTGTTCCTCGGTTTGGCCTCTTTTCTGTTTCTCCTACGTTTTGCCCTCTTGCATGTGCATGGCGCGCAAACATTCTGGCCATTAGCGATACCATTTGCTGTTCGCACACCTTACTTGAACTCATGGATGTACACAACGAAAACGTTGGAGAACATTACAAACGACTGGCCAACTTTCTGGAACGGAGCGGTGTGATCCTTACTCAATGCTTGCTCATCCTCGGGGCTCATCTTGCGGCTCAATAGACTCATGGATGGCTCTGTTACATCCGAGTGGACGGAAGGACGTACACTTTGTTTGGCGACAATGATCTCCCGAGCAACTACTCTGTGACAGCCGGAACCTTGGTTCAGACGGAAGTGACTCCAACTCGTACCATACAAGTCATCCAAGCTGGCCCTATGGCCATTACGTTGACGTTTCTGAGTCCCACTAGCGGAAACCCGTGCTCCGCTACGGACTGGAGGTTATCAATGATTGCATGCTAATAGTGCTATGCGCGAAGAGGTATGAAGGTCACTCCAAGTCAGCCGCCTCCCTCGGCCGCGCGGGGAGTCAACTTCACAGCTATACTACACAACAGTCATATGCCAGCATGCGCGAAGACGTATATGCTGTACGCAAAGGCCACTCAGCCGCCTCCCTTCGGGAGTCGGCTTCGTGACCTCATTGAGCATTTTTCTGCTTGCAATAAACATAAATGTAAATACGAATCCCATAGCATGTTTATGATCAAGTCGTCTGTTGTCCAAACTATGGCTAGTGCTAGTGAACGGGGCCAGGATGGGCATGGCACGGGTAGCACCGCGGGTGCGCAGGGCGCGTACCGCACCCGCGACCCGCGATCTGCATACCCATATCCTGCCCGGGTTCAATGTTCACCGCCGGTGTCGGCGATGGACCGCTGGTTGACTTACCTCGGTGGTATCCGAGTCTGCGCGGGTTTGGGCTTGTTGCCTGCACCCGCCGTCCTCCCCGTCCTCTGTCTTTGCTCCTCAGACGCCATCCTCACGCGCGCGCGCCTGCTCGCCGCTGTGCCCGTACCCACGGCGCTCTCGTCGACTGCATTGACACGCGGGGCATTGGCCCTGTGGGCTCGCAGTCGGCGTTTTGCGCATGCCCCGGCCCTGCCCTTCGCTCACGCGCGCGCGGTCCCTTCGTCGGCGGAGCTTGCGTGCTCGTCATTCGCCCTGCGAGCTCGCGGTCGCCATGTGTGTGTTGTTGTCCGGTCGTATGCCCGCTCGCCCACTCGTTCATCGGCCGTGTCTGCGTACTGGGCATTCGTCCTCCACGCTCGCGGTCGGTGTGTGTTGCGCGCGCGCCGGCCTGCCCAACGCCGCCGTTGCTGGTCTTTTGCTCAGCGCGTGGGGTCTGTTCGTCGGCCATGCGTGCGTGTCGGGCAGTTCTTCCCCACCATCCGTTCGCTCCCGTCCGAACTCACTCGCTTCCGCACTTACCCTCCACCCATCCTCCCCCTGCTCGCTGCTATGCTCGCACCTGTGGCCCGCTCATCGGTAGGGGACCCTGCGTGCTAGTGGCCGGTGGCGTTGCCGTGCGCCCACCGTCAGTCAGCGCGCTCGCTCGCGTACGTCTGCACTCACCAAAGTTCCCCGATGCCCTTCTTTAGCTCTCGTGCACGCCATCTGTTCGTCGGCCGTGTCTGCACGCAGGGCAGCGGCATTGGCCCTGCATGCTCGCCGTCGTCGTGTGTCTTGTGCTCGTGCTGTTTGTGTTGCTGCACGTCACGCCCGCCAGCCCCTCGTCCATACCCACCATCCACACGCTCTTGTTCGTGCCCGCTGTCCGCTCGCCCTCCTCCCTGATGGGCCTCCCACCTCCGTGTTTGTCATCTTACCTGTGGCTGCCGTCCGTTCAACGGCCGCATCTGCATGCAGGGGCATTGGCCCTGCGCGCGTCATGCCGCATGTCGTCGCATTCTGTGATGGAATTTTGATGGTGGTTGGCGAAGCCGTTGGAGCGCTCGCGCCAGTGATGCCCGTGCACGCCCAAGCCAAAGCCCGAGGGCCGTCAGGGATGGATATGAGACAGCAGAAGGGAGGAGGGTCGGAGCAGCGGAGGACACGTAGTAGGCATCGGGCACCGGTCGGGCATTCCCCGTCTGTCCGAAATGCGCGTCGTTGGTTGTCCCCGTCCCCGTCCCCGTCCCCGTCCAGCCCCGTCCCCGTCCTCGTTCCTGTTCCCATTCGCGTTCGCCCTCGCCCTCGTGTTCACCCTCACGTTCGTGGTCATGTTCGGTTTTCTGTTCGAATTAGTGTTCATGTTCGCGTCCGCACTCGCGGTCGTGTCGCCTGCATTGCGCTAGGGAGTGGTTATTGCTAGTTGGCAGATGAGACCGTGGTGGCAATCCGTTTTTGTGCATGGTTATATCGCGCTCTGGGTTAGCAGGCCGAGGGGGTGTGTTGCCTGCAGGGACCACTACCTCGTGACGCTCGTGTTCACGCTGTCTGTGTCTAGGAAGAATCCGAATGTTGTCGGAATGAGGTTGATGCAAGGGTGGATCTGTGATGATTGTTAGCTACGACTCCAGTAGCTGCAGCTGATAGGACGCACGACTGTCCGCTTCATGGCGCTCACACTCACGGCGCTCACGCTCGCGTCGCCTGCGCTGAGCAAGGCTTCTTTTATTGAGGGCGTGGGGCTCGCTCGACGATGACGCTGTGTTGGCTGTGAGTGGTGGAGTAGGTAGCTGTTGCTGATGAGATGATTGAGCTACAGTCTAGTGAGAGGATGCACTTAAAGGGATCGTGGGTTGCTGCGCACCTGTGACTGTCCCAAAGACGTCATCTCTCTCGCTTTCACTTCGACCTGGCTGTGATTGAAGGGGTTGAATGTTAGCAGTAGAGTATGATGCTTACCTGTCGTGTTTCTCGAGCAGGGAATCGGACAGGTCCCGGAACCCCACACTCGTGGAAGCTACTTATTGTGCTATGAACAGGTTGTGTGATCTGAAACACATTTTTTCACTCATTCACTCACATGTGGTGTTCTGCGCCGTGTATGACTCATCATCTCCTGCGCGTGTCGATCTGCATGTCGTCGAGCATGCCTCGGGGTTAAAGAGGTAGCAGCAGTAGCCATTCTGCCTCACTTGGTATTCCGAGAGGCAACGGACACTCATAGAGATCTGATGAGTGCCAGAGAGAGGTCTAGAACGAAAGATTGGTGGTCATAAAAGCGAAACGGCACATATCCCAGCGCGTGCAGGCACTCAGAGTCAGAGTACGCATGGGCCAGGAGTCGGAGGAGGAGTGCGAGGCGCAGAGTCGAGCGCAGGCGCAGGTGGCCTCCTCGGGCAGCTCGGCGATCCTTGCGCGTCGTTTGCTGCCCAGCCAATGAGATGTCATCTTTGTCTCGTCCAATTGTCTGCCGTGTGAAAATTATCGACGCCTCTTGTAGAGTAGATGAATGTAGGTTTGTGAATCATAAGTAATCGTGACACTGCTAACATCGCAACAAGCCGTCCGACCTCGTACGCCAATCTCTTCCGTTCGCCTATGTGGCTGTGAACTTCACATCCACCAATGGCCAACCACATGACATTCAGCTGTATTCGGACATGGATGGAGGTTGGTATATCACCTAGTACGCGTGTACGCATTTCGCTCCTTGTGAGCTGATATTCTTCTAGGATGGCTGTACGGTGGCAACGCGGCTCAGCAGATACAGTGGAGTGTGCCGACACAAACCGGGAACATCATCTATCTTGAATCTCAGCTCGTGAATCCGACACCTTTTCAGGAACATGAAGGACAAGGGTTGGATGGTGCAGCGTACATTGCGATGGAGCTGGTACGTGGACTTACTCTTCGTTATAGACTATCTTAACTTTAGTGTCAGGGACAACAAGGACGCAATGTCACTTCGCAGACTTGCCAAGACATCGTCTGCCGCGAAGAGTTCTTAAATATTGGTCACCTAAACGCAAATGACAACAATCAAACCTTTCGAGGCATAGATGTGTAGGGGTGCTGCATTCCGTTGCGTGCGTTGAGAGCTCATGCATGCCACAGTGACTGGCCGATCTTCCCGATGTCGGTCGACTTGGGAAGCGTTGCTTCTCTGGAATCACCCGTTGTCTGGGCGGTTGGCTATGTACGCGATCCCAGCATCAGTTACCCACTGTTAGGAAACACGGCATCCCTCCGCCCGTACTATACAACACAGTACCCTACCACCGAAGAGGCCGTGAGTAATGACACAGTTTTGGTGGTTCATGTCACTGAATTTCACACATTCAGTTGGAGTTCTTCATCTCCGATTTCGACAACTCGCTGACTCAGGCAAACTTGCTCGATACGCAAGTCCGTGAAGCGGCTTCAAGCATTTCGGCTGACGGCAAACTGTACGACATGCTTTCGCTCGCCACTCGCCAGGTGTTCAGCTCTCTCGAGATAACGGCTCCCTATCAGTCGGACGCCACGACTAGGATCTTCATGAAAGACTTGGGCACCAGCCAGTGAGTCACACCGGGCACATGCAAGTACTCCGTATCTCACACGACAATCCACAGACGCGTCACTCCCGTGGAGAAGTTGTACGCCGCACTGCCCTTGTTCTTGTACTACAATGCCTCGCTAGTCAAGCCACTCCTGGTACCGCTCCTTGAACAACAGAATACGTCGTTGGGCGAATATCCGTACGCATCGAAAGACCTTGGTGAGCTCTCATCACACTTTGCCGACAACGGTGTGTTGATGGTCTTATTCAGGCTCCTTGTTCCCGGCTGTATCTGGTCCGAACCTGACATCTACAGAGGCAATCGAACGTGAGCATGCTTTGCCGCAGCGAAGATCCGCCTGCTGACCAGTGGTAATTGCAGAATCCGGGAACATGCTCATCATTGCACTCGCTCACGCCAATTACTCGAACGATACATCGCTGCTCCATGGCTATGTGCGTCTTCATCTTCGAGAGTTGTGTGCTTAGCTTACCTTCACATGCACGCAGTATCCCTTGCTCAAGAATTGGGCAGAGTATTTGACGGGACATGGGCCATTTCCTCCTCAGGGCCAGTGCGTATCATGTTTTATGGTGCCCAAAAACAGCTCACCGATAAATCTGTAGATTATCTGTCGATGACGGAAGTGACGCTACAAACTCGACCAACCTGGCGGTGAAGGGTATCTTTGCCATCCAGGCCATGGCGGAGATCAGTCAATTAGTCGGGCAGAGTAATGATTCTGAGCACTTCAGCGTGAGTGATCGACCGCGTACTACAACTTGGCAAGAACTCGGAATTTTGACGAATTTCGGCACGTTCACAGAGCACAGCGACCAACTTTATGAACACATGGCAACCGCTTGCCATATCGTCAGGAGGCGCCTCTGCGTCCGTGAATCCGACGTTGAACTCGGCAGTCACAGGCGTCTGGTCTTTACCGTATAATCTCTACCCGCAGACTCTGTTCGGATTTAATCTCTTGAACCAGACAGTACGTCATTGTGTTGTTTACGGGAATGCGCTGCTGATTTCGCCACACAGTGGCTTGACAAGCTTACTGTCATGTATGGGCAGTGGATCCAACCTGAAACTGGTAAGGATCGTTTTTCGTTGCGTTCATGTCGATTACTCAACGCTTTCCCAGCCAACTATACGCATGGGTTGCCGATGCAGAGCTCAGCACAATCGCTTGGCAACGTAGGTGTGTCAATATCCCATTAGAGTACTCGTAACTCCGACTCAAATGTGATTGTACAGCCTGGAATGCTTTCATCGCGGCTACCTGCACCAACGACACGATCCGCGGTCAGATTCTTGATGCGGTCTGGAACTATGCGTCGTTCAACGGGACATCGGCCCCGTTCGGCGCGGTGTACAATGTCGAATCTGGTGCCTACGTGGATGGAACGTCGAGGTTAGCCGTGTTATTCTTGTGTTAGAGAGCTGACGTCTAATCTGCGAGACAGCCCCGCGTTAGGAGGCCTCTTCGCCCCGTTCTTGCGCAGGTGAGGTTGCAGCGTATCGCAAGTCTACCTATACTGAACGTAATGAGCAGCAATACTATCTTTGGCTCCCCATCTCCCACTCAGTCTGGAAGCTCCACGAATCGCGGTAGCAAGGTCGACGTCGGCGCCATAGCGGGCGGCGTCGTCGGGGGCGTCGTCGGCTTACTTGTACTCGTCGGGCTTGTACTATTGCTATGCCGACGCCGTCGGAACCAGAAGAATGTCGCCCTCCTCGACACTACCGGCACGAGGACAGAGCCAACGCCCTTCGAGTCTGCGCCTGCTTTTGCAGCCCAGGCTCCGGGTGTCATACTCACGGAGAAGCGGCGCCGGGAACTCGAGTCGCCGAGGGAAGAGGAGCCTCTGTTGCCTTTAACCGGCTCATTTTCCGCCATGGGCGACGAGCCTCCGTCTGGGAGCGCGACGGTCCCTTCGACGACGACGAATGGTGTGGGGTCGCGTGAGAACGATTTGCTGGGGCTGCGCTCGGTGATAGAGGATCTGCGCAGGATGATGCTGGACGTGCACCTCGAGAGACCGGAACCTTCTGACTTGGGTGCACCGCCCGATTACTCGTGACGGGTCTAAGTAGAGGTGTCTCCTTAATTGTGCCTTCACCAATGGAATCTGGGCCAGTTTCACACCTCTGTTCGCTCAGTACTGTATCGCCGTTCAATGTCACTCTCTTTGTGTCATCGATCTATGAATTGTCGTCTTTAAATTCATCTTTGCGTCGATGCAGTACAGTGTCATTGTGGAGCTTGTGCTACATAGACCACCCTCTGCGCTTGAAGCTTTCAGTTGATCTCCAGTTGAACGTTCAACATTGCACAGTGCACGCGTGTCAACATTCAGCATCGTGGACCATTCACCTGAGTTGATAAGTAGCCAAGTTACTTACCGAGTGAGAGCGCTTGGAGAGCGCGCTGGATTGCGCCCACCATCATATCAATACACGACCAATATGACATGCCACGGTCACTGCAAGAGTCCGTGTTGTCGTTCTTTTATGAAGCTTGGATATTGAAATATTGACCGCCCACTACGGTTGCCCGATATGTAGTCCGGGGCCGGGCATTTTGCACGACGGGCCTCAGCCACAGCGCATCGCTGGTCTGCCGCCTGCTCCTCCTCCTCAACAACACACTCAATCTTCGCGCTACGGTCATGTAAGTGCTCCCGCTGCATTACAAGCACCGGGAACAGCAATACAGACGTCCTAGTAAGTTCACATCGACCTCCAAAGTCCACAAGAAGGCGCGACGACCCCGGGAAGCGGTAAGCGCCCGACAACGCCGCGACTCGCTTGGACTTGAGCGTGAATGCACAAGTCTGGAGGATACCTACACCAAACCTGCACCACCTTTCTGGATAGATTAAGGGCAGAATTGGACAGGTGCTCTGAAGGGAAAAGCATATATTATATGGTGAGTGATCATATGCACACACTGTGTCTTTGCTATATGTACACGGGTACTAATGGCTCGAATCAGAACGGCCCATGTTCTCAGACTCGGACAACATTACAAGCGCAGCTGCGAAGTCAGCCGCCATGCAGAGCACAGCGAGGGGAAGCACAGTGGTGTTTTCACATGTATTCGACGTTCGTGGCTGTGACAGGTGAGTGATAGCATACCTTTGTCTCGGAGTCATACTGTGCCGCAGGCCTTTGTGTACATTGACAAAACTGAAATATATATATTGTGTCTCGAATTGTACATGTACATCACCCTGTCACGACCAGACATAGCATGAAGTACTGAGTACTGAATGCCTACACCGAGAGCCTCAGCCTAAAGCCTTCCAGTACTATTTCACTGGGCCTGCCAGACGCACACTGTGGTGTCAGTACCAAGGGTCATACCATCCTATGATGATCTGCATACCTGTTCAACATCCCACATACTTGTATCAAACAGCCATGTACCATAGTTGTATCCTCCAGACTTGTACATTCGAGTCCGAGTTAGTCGCGGCGTTGTCGGGCGCTTACCGCTTCCCGGGGTCGTCGCGCCTTCTTGTGGACTTTGGAGGTCGATGTGAACTTACTAGGACGTCTGTATTGCTGTTCCCGGTGCTTGTAATGCAGCGGGAGCACTTACATGACCGTAGCGCGAAGATTGAGTGTGTTGTTGAGGAGGAGGAGCAGGCGGCAGACCAGCGATGCGCTGTGGCTGAGGCCCGTCGTGCAAAATGCCCGGCCCCGGACTATCGGGCAACCGTAGCCCACTGGCAAGCGCCCGCAGGCGCTATCGAGTTCTTGCCAACCTGAAATGTCGCGCGGCACGCCTACTCTCTCCAGTCCTACATGGTCGTCGTTGGCACGGATAGTCATGTCCGTTTTCTATGGATATGCTCGTTCGTACTCTGGGGTCTGTCTCTGATATTGACATGTCTATCCTCCACCCTGCCTCTGTTCGACTCATCATCCAACGTTGTCTTGACGTCGTCTGATGCGTTGTGGTACCAGTTCGCCATCCGACCATTTCTTCGTTGGGATACCTTCCACTTTGCGCATATCGCTCGTCATGGCTATGTCTACGAGTATGAATGGGCTTTCTTCCCTGGTGCGCCTCTTGTGATGCGGACAATAGCCCGCTTTCTGCACTTCGTCTGCCAGAATGAAGGCCAGCTTCTCTGCTATGAGGACCTACTACTTGGTGGCATGGTCGCTGCTCTATCGAGTGGTAGTGTGATTAACCTCTACCGGTTGACTTTGCATCATATGCGTTCTCCGAATGTGGCCCTTCTTGCCTCGCTGTTATCGCTGCTCCCGAGCAGTCCGGTCACCCTTCGTCTGGCTCCGTGTACCGAACCGTTCTTCACATACCTGTCATATAAAGGTGTCCCTCGTGCCGTCATCCTGCAATTAACTGCGGCTAATTCTGCATCGCAGGCATGTTGTACTGTGCTACCGGGCAATGGCTCCTGGCGTCGGGATGCTTTGCCGTCGCGTGCATGTTCCGCTCCAACGGCATCATGCTCGCAGGATTTATTATCTGGGGGATGCTCGTCGAGCCCTTCCTCAGCTCACGCAAGGTGCGCTGCCTGCCAAGCTGGAAGGACTGCCGCTCATGCATTTGTGCGTTTCTACCTTGTCAGATCACCATCACCAGACTTCTCCGTAGTGTCGTCCTGACCTCCACTATACTGATGCCCTTTGTATGGCACCAATACTCAGCGTATATCGCATTCTGCACCGCCGAGACTCCCGCTCCCTGGTGCTCGCACGTCCCGCCTTCAATATACGGCTATGCCCAGTCCAAGTACTGGAACGTCGGCTTCCTGCGGTACTGGACTCCCGAGCAACTTCCGAACTTCCTCATCGCCGCACCGCCCCTCGTTCTGCTCCTCAGCTACTCAGTACATTACTTGCAGCGCGCTCTCCTTCCTCGACTACGCCCATCCCTAATATCACAACACATCCCCGAGAAGGACGGCTCGAAGACGCAAAGCGCCTCACCCTTCCTCGCTCCGTCCATAGCACCACACGCGATCCACGCCCTGATCCTCACGCTCACGCTGCTCTTCGCCGCCCACACGCAGATCGTCCTCCGGCTCGCGGCCTCGATGCCATTCACGTACTGGGCCGCCGCGTGGCTCCTCGTCGAACACCGCCGGTGGGGCATGTACTGGGTGAGCTGGAGCGTCGTCTGGGGGGCGGTGTCCATTGTTCTTTGGACGACGTTCTTGCCACCTGCGTAGCCGCGTCAAATTCTCAGGCCTATAGTCGATTTTGTTGCATCGACATGACACTCGCAATACACGTCGCATCCTTGGATAGGCTTTGTGTGGCTGTTCTAGGAGCGTCGGGGATTCGACGGTCGTCGGTCGTCTGCAGGATGAAGGAGATACGTTGTGATTTATGGCGCGGGTACACCCCACAACAGCGATCGAGCACGACTACGATGCATGTGCTAAGAGCAGTGGATTGAGAAGCGCAAGGAATGCGGTGTCATCCCTCACTGCGACGATAGTTCATACACTATTTGACTAACATTGGAGGCCTAGGGAAAGCATGACACTACAAAAACAAGATGCGGAGATTGTATACAAGACAAGAACATGCGACTTCCATAACAAAGACCGTATCTCCTTACTTCTGTACACACAAGACGGGCCCCAACCGCACACGGACTGAAGAACGAGACAGCCGGGGGGAGCTGCAATAACAATTCAGGTGATAGTAGGCCACACTATCCCCGCCAGATCATCTCCGACTCTTGGACTTCTTAGCGCGTCTCGCGGGCTTGTCCATCTCTTCGTCGTCGTCGCTGCCCTCGTAGTACTTGCCCCGCTTCTGCTTCGACGACCGTCTTTTGGCAGACGCGGGCGGCGGTTCGTCGTCCTGGCGCTCTACGACCTGCGCGATGAAGTCCCACAGGCACTTGATGATGTCCCCGCGCGCGCGGACATCCGGAAACTGCTTGCGGACGTGCGTTCGCATGTTGTAGATCTCTTCCGCGCAGACCTCGTCCTCGCAGTCGCGTAGAATGTACAGTATCACACCTGCGCGGTGGATGAGACGTGTTGCGCATAGACGATTGACAGCTCACCGATGAAGACGAACTCGATCGGCGCCACACGCTTCTGTATCGAGCGGAACCCGTAGTTTAATCTCTTGTTGTCGCCGATGTGCCAGAACTTTGTGAGCGCCTCCTTGAGTGCGGTCTTAAACCAGGTCTCGGGCTCGTCCTCGCCCGCGACGAACTGTTCCATCTTCTTCGCGGTCGGGATGACGCGTTCTGGGTAGTACTTGCAGCAGCAGACGAACTGCGCGAGCGTTTGGAAGTCGCGCCCGCGCTTCATGTCAACGTCGATGATCGTCGTCAGCCCGTTGTCGCAGTTGATGTACCGCGCGTCCAGCTCGCTGACGAGTTCGGACCAGGGCGAGGAGATGGCCTGCAGTTTCTCTGCGGAGCAGATGAACCACAGATGCGGAGAAGTGAGCTTCGAACGTACCAGCGGCTGTGAGGGGAACGCCCAGCTGCACACGCTGGAAGATGTCGCGGTCCATTCCCTTTGGCAGGTCATAGTATTGGACTGATAGAAGAAATTGAATGCGACACATGAACAAAGGGAAACAAGGACACGCACCGCACGTAAGTTGTTTGGAGGCAAAATCCCGCTTCCACTCCTCTGGGACCTCCAATCGTGAAGATTTGTGCGACTGTGCGCGGGTATACCACCAAGCCTTTTTGGTAACGGGGTCTCTGTCTGCGAACGGGAGGGGCGTCACTCAGCGCACCTTTCGTACAGCTGTGCGGGCACGTACAAGGAATCTGACATGTCCGGGGCACGTCAGTGATCGCATTCTTCAGTATTGAGGGCAGCACGGTCGGTCTGGCCGAGCGACGTTCGACGCGCCGCCACAACCGGCCCAGACGCCTGTTCGCGATTGCTCAATCTCGTGCACGCCTCCAGGCCTGAGACAGTCGGCGCGCAAGCATATGGGAGGACATGCTCGTGCGCCGACACACATTGTCCGTAGATTTAGAGGGTCATGTACGAACCTGGCCGTCAAAGAATTTCTGGATAGACGTCAACCTCTGCTTCCCATCCACGCATCGCATGACCGTCTCGCCATCGTCGTCTTTGTACACGTCGAACACAATCGGTGGAACGTAATAGTTGCGGTATATAGAGTCCAGGAGCTTCATTTGCTTCGGTTCTGTCCATACAATATCTAGGACATTGTGAGTACTCAATGGGTACGTGCAAACGCGTAGAGCACACCTCTTTGATAAGCCGGGCACAAGTCAATGACACCCTCGTGCACGAGAGCTGAAGTGCATGAGATTCAGGTATGCCGAGGTCGCGATGCAACATACTATGGAGTTCTTGCGTTGTGTACAGCCTGGCCTTTGGCATTGTCAGGCGATCGCCGATGTGGAAGGTACGGGTGTCGTCTTGGTCGTCCGAGATGTCGGACTGGAGCTCATCGAAGTCCTTTTCTTCCTCCATGGTACGCATGAGGTAGCAGAGAGTGGCGGCAGGAGGAGGAGGAGGAGGAGGAGGAGGAGGAGGAGGAGGAGTCTCAGCGAAGTCTGCGGCCAGAACCTGGTTGTCTCTCTCACGTGATCCAACTGGCCGCATTTGGGCAACCGCCTCCGCCACCGCACATGCTAGTCTCATACCAAGACCCTCCACACGGCTTTGTGTCGAACCTACCACAGAGGCCCAGAATATGTACTCTGGCCCCCACTGACGATGTGAGCCCACCTCAGGACACTGACGACAATATTCTTGGTCTTAAGCCGGGCCTAATGCTGTGTATTTGACGATAGAGTCGACTCGGAGGGCTAGCCTCTAATTGCCGCAGGTCTTCAATTCCAATAATACGTAGCAATCGTCCTGAGGCCGCAGTCTCCCTTGATACACATGTTACCAAATGTTACAGGAACTTTTGCCTCTGCCGTCATGTCATGATGGAGATGCATGGTGAAATGGAGGCGCTGCATGTTTCGAAAGTCAGTCTTCCTCCGGAAGCCACATATCTTCGCTCCTCGATGACAACTGGCCAACAGGCTCCGCCAGCACTCAGGGTTCGTGAATACGGCGGAATTGTGTGTATGATCAGATCTGAATATCAATGCTTTCCAGGTTCTTCCAACGTACTTTTGGTGCTGCCGTGACGCAACCGCCCATCTGTGATGGGTGCCGGATGCCATCGGACGCTCCTAGAAATTGCGAGTCTCGATCAATGTTCGGACAGATGCGGTGATGAATCCGATCAATTCGGACCCTAATCCGACACGTTGACCGGCATGGTGCTGTCAATGCGAACCTTAGGATGGTCCTGGGAGCAAAGAAAGACGACGGCAGTGGTGCCTGCAATTTACAAGCAAGATATGGCATGAGGAGCCGAATTGAAACCTTCACCGCAAAACAGCCAGCGGTTCGCTCTGACTAGGTTCCTGTCCTGGGTCAACTACGGGCGAGGGTTCCTGCTTACTCGCTGCTTCCTCCATGACGCTCCTTGTCGTGGCCTCTTTTCTGTGCCTCCTACGCTTTACCATCTTGCAAGTGCATGGCGCACAGACATTCTGGCCATCAGCGATACCATTTGCTGTTCGCACGCCTTGCTTGAACTCATGGATGTTCACAACGAAAACGTCGGGGACCACTACAAACGACTGGCCAGCTTTCTGGACCGGAGCGGTGCGATCCTTCATGCTTGCTCATCCTAGGGGCTCATCTTGCGGCTCCATAGACTCATGGATGGATCTGTTACATCCGGGTGGACGGAAAGACGTACACTCTGTTTGGCAACAACAATCTCCCGAGCAACTACTCCGTGACAGCTGGAAGCTTGGTCCAGACGGAACTGACTCCGACTCGTACCATACAAGTCATCGAAGCTGGCCCTATGAACATTACCTTAACGTTTCTGAGTCCCATAGATGTAGGTTTGTGAAGCACAAGCAATCTTCACGTTGCTGACATCACGACAAGCCGTCTGATCTCGTACGCCAATCTCTTCCGTTCGCCTATGTGGCCGTGGATTTCGCATCCACCGATGGCCAACCGCACGACATACAGCTGTATTCCGACATGGATGGAGGTGGGCATGTTACCTAGCACGCGTGTACGCATCTAGCTACTTGTGAGCTGATATTCTTCTAGGATGGCTGAACGGCGGCAACCAACCCCAGCAGATGCAGTGGAGTGTGCCGACGCAAATTGGGAACATTATCTATCATGAGTTTCAGCTCACGAAATCGACACCGTTCCAGGAACAAGTAGGGCACGCCATAGATGGTGCAGCGTACTCTGCGATGGAGCTGGTACAAGAACTCACTCTGGTTCACGGACAATGCTAACTTCAGTGGCAGGGACAACAAGGACGCAATGTCACTTGGCAGACTTGCGACGACATCGTCTGCCGCGAAGAGTTCTTGGATACTGGTCACCTAAATGCGAACAACAACAACAATACCTTTCGGGACATAGATGTGTAGGGGTGCTACATTCTGCTGCGTGCGTTTGAGCTCATGCATACCACAGTGACTGGCCCGTCTTTCCCATATCGGTTGACTTGGGAAGTGTCGCTTTTGTGGATTCACCCGTTGTCTGGGCGGTTGGATATGTGCGCGATCCAAGCATCAGTTACACATTGTCAGGAAACACGGAATCCCTCCGCCCGTACTACACAACACAGTATCCTACCACCGAAGAGGCCGTGAGTAACGATACAGCTTTGCTGGCTCATGTCACTGAACTTCGCATGTGTAGTTGGAGTTCCTCGTCTCCGATTTCAACAACTCGCTTACTCGGGCAATATTCCTCGATGCGCAAGTTCGGAAAGCGGCTTCTAACATCTCGGCTGACGGTAAACTGTTCGATATGCTTTCGCTCGCCACTCGCCAGGTGTTTGGTTCCCTCGAAATAACGGCTCCCCATGAGTCCGACGCGACCACTAGGATCTTCATGAGAGACATGGGCAATAGTCAGTGAGTCGTGCTCAGCCCATATAACTGCTTCGCATCTTACATGAAGATCCACAGACGCGTCACTCCCGTGGAGAAATTGTACGCTGCACTACCTATGTTTTTGTATTACAACGCAACACTAGTCAAGCTACTCCTGGTACCGCTACTTGAACAACAGAATACCTCGTTGGGCGCATTTCCGTACGCATCGAAAGACCTCGGTAAACGCTCATCACTTTTTCGACAACAGCATGTTGATGGTCTTATGAAGGCTCCTTGTTCCCGAATGTATCTGGTCCGAACCTAACATCTACAGAGGCAATCGAACGTGAGCACGCTTCACCGTCGCAACGATACGCCTGCTGACCAATGGTGATTGTAGAGTCGGGGAACATGCTCATCATTGCACTCGCTTACGCCAAATACTCGAACGATACGTCGCTGCTTCATGACTATGTGTGTGTTCGTCTTTGAGAGTTGTGTGCTTGGCTTACCTTCACATGCATGTAGTATCCCTTGCTCAAGAATTGGGCTGAGTATCTGACGCAACATGGACAATTTCCTGAGGATCAGTATGTATCATCTTCATGGAGTGTGAGAATAACTCACCGAGGACTCTCAGATCATCCGTCGACGACGGAAGTGACGCCACAAACTCGACCAATCTTGCGGTGAAGGGCATCTTTGCCATTCAGGCCATGGCGGAGATCAGTCAACTAGTCGGGGAAAGTGATGATTCTCAGCAGTTCAGCGTGAGCGATCTACTATGTACTACTACGACTTGACAAGATCTTGGAATCCTGACGAGTTTCGGCATGTTTACAGAGCACAGCGTCCAACTATATGAACACATGGGAATCGCTTGCCATATCGTCAGGAGGCGCCTCTGCGTCCGTGAATCCGACGTTGGACTCGGCAGTTACAGGCGTCTGGTCTTTACCGTATAATCTCTACCCGCAGACTCTGTTCGGATTCAATCTCTTGAACCAGACAGTACGTCGTTCATGTTGTTGACAGGAATGCATTGTCCTGATTTCGCCACACAGTGGCTTGACAAGCTTACTGTCATGTATGGGCAGTGGATCCAACCTGCAACCGGTAAGGATCCCCTTCCGTCGCGTTCATATCGAGGACTCAACGCTTTCCCAGCCAACTATACGCATGGGTTGCCGATGCAGAGCAATGCACAATCGCTTGGCAACGTAGGTGTGTCGATATCCTATCAGAGTACTCATACCTCTGGCTGACATGCAATTGCACAGCCTGGAATGCTTTCATCGCGGCTACCTGCACCAACGACACAGTCCGTGGTCAGATCCTTGATGCGATCTGGAATTATGCGTCATTCAATGGGACATCGTCACCGTTCGGCGCGGTGTACAATGTCGAATCTGGTGCCTACCAGGGTGGAACGACCAGGTTGGTCGTGCTCATTTTGTGCTATGTAGAGAGCTGACGTCCGATCCGCGAGACAGCCCCGCATTAGGAGGCCTCTTCGCCCCGTTCCTGCGCAGGTGAGCTTATAGTATATTGCACGTATGGACGTGCTACATCGGATGCGCAGCGGAACCGTCACCGTCTTCCCGGCTCCATCGCCCCCCAGTAATTCCACCACAAGCCCTAGCGCTTCCGGCGGTGGCTCGGTCGATGTTGGCGCCATAGCGGGCGGCGTCGTCGGTGGTGTTGTCGGTTTACTGACGCTCGCCGTACTATGGCTACTCCTTCGTCGTCGAAACCAGCAGAACGCCGCCCTCCTCGACACAACTGGTACAGGGACAGAGCCCACACCCTTCGAGGCTGCGCCTGCTCTCGCGGCCTACGCACCAGGTGTCATACTGACTGAAAAGCAGCGCCGGGAACTCGAATCGCCAAGGGAACAAAGGCCTGCCAGTGTCCTGCCATCATCCGGCTTGTCTTTAGCCATCATGCCAGTTGACGAGCCTCCGTCCAGTGGGAGCACGACGGTCCCTTCGACGACGGATGGCGTGTCTGTGGGGTCGCGCGAGAACGATTTGCTGGGGCTGCGCTCGGTGCTCGAGGATCTGCGCAGGATCATGCTGAACGTGCACATCGAGGAACCGGCAGAATCTTTGGACTTGGGTGCGCCGCCCGAGTATTCGTGATGGGTCTAAAGTAGTGGTATGCATATGCTCTAGTGCATCGTGCTGTCACTTCTTAGCAGTGTGGGCATCAATATGCTCACTGGGATTGCGCCTACGAACAACCACAATACGCAGTTGATATTTATGTATTCGCCGCGATCCGTGGCCATGCCGTGGTATAGACTTGAAGCTTGAAGCTTGACCGAGCAGACCGACTCGTGAGCACTACTGTTGTTATGGCCTATGATTGCCAGGGCTGAAAATCGCGTCAACATTCCACTCATTGACAGGCAGGTATGTTCGCATCATTGTCTTCTGCGACCTCACACTTCTGGTCCCATGTATCGCTGCCGTCAACGTTGCTGCCAGGTCTAGTGTGACGCCGACTCCGGGGGATTATAACACGCAGAATAACCCTTTCCTGGATGTTATCTGACGCAAAATATTTGATGTGCAAGTATTGCTGCCGATAATTGATTGGCGACGTCACCCACGGTCGCGCAGTGGTCTGTTCTGAAATTGACAACGACACAGCTCTCTCAGACTCCAGCCGCAGAGGGGCCGTGGGGACCGCGCTCGGGTTCTTCATCTCTGTTCTGTTCTGTCATTTTCGCGCTCACCGTAGCTCAGATGAACACGTCCCTATCCTTGAACGTCACTAGCTTGCTTGATTCTAACGCGACCTCAGATATCCCAGACTCGGACGCACCCCAGGTTCAGCATGCCAGTCCGGTTGTAGCCTTCATCATCGGACTTGCTATCATTCTATTGGCCTCGATTCTGAATGCTGCTGGGCTCAACCTTACGAAGCTGGACCATGTGAGTTTCTCGAGCGATTCTACATTGCGAGGCGCAAGTGATGACGAGACGCGTAGGTCCGCACAAGTGCGATTCCGAAGGCACAGCGACGGAGAGATTGGTTACGACCATTATGGCTGCTAGGAATGGTGCTGTACATGTACGTTGCCTTTAAGCTCGGCGCGTTCTATACTGAACATTCGGCAGTCTGTCCCAAGTGATCGGGAGTACGCTTGCCCTCGAATACATGAGAGCAGGTACGTGCCTGTCCCTTGCCAATGCTTTACGGTGCATTGACTCCAACCCCCACCTCCAGAATATGTCGCACCTCTTGGCTCAACATCATTAATCTTCAACTTTCTGTTTGCAAAGTTCCTCGTGGATTCCCCAGTCACGAATTACGATATCTATGTAAGCCGTTCTTCGCGAGGCCTTCATGATTCTGGACTGACAGGTTCAGGGTACAATAATCGTCATATTAGGCGTCATTGGAATTGTGGCGTTCGGATCCATCAACAGCGGCCTCGGGGAAGAAACCAGCGCGGAGCACCTCGCGTACCTATGGACGCGCGGCAACTGGCTGTCGTTCTTCTTCTTCATGTCCTTTGCCCTCATCATCCTCTACGCGTTCGTCGCTCAGCTCGAACAGGTTCTCGCAGCGCGGGGGGACATCAATGCGGAGCCCTTTGCGGGCATGAGCTCGCGACGGAGCGGAGGACCAGCACCGGTGGGCTTCTTCAAGAAATTGGTGGCGGGCATGGAGACTGCGATGATGTGGGTTCGGGAGAAGCTGGAGTTGTGGACTGCGCCTCAGGATGACAAGCGGATCGCATGGACAATTGGGATCGGGTGGGCATGTTGCGGTGGTGGACTGGCTGGTGGATGTTTGGTGTTTGCGAAGGCTGCGTACGTCTGCGCGTGTCGCTCTCTGAGGTTGACCTAACGTTGAGTCGTACACAGGGTGAAGGTGATCTCAGGCAGTGTGTCGCATCAGAATGCCGGGAATCAGATTGGCCGCGCGTCGACCATCTTCACGTTCATATTTCTGGCCATCACAGCCGTGTCACAAATCATCTGCTTGAACCGTGGGCTGAAGGTGTACGACTCTACCCTTGTTGTGCCCGTATTCTATGGTGTGTACACCGCTGCAGGCTTCCTCAACTCCTTGGTATGCCTCGCGTTTTCCTCGTGATCCCGAGTTCTTCTCACGCTTCTCCAGATCTTCAACGACGAGGTCGACGCATATCAGCCATGGACACTATTCCTGATATTTGTGTCCATGATAATCCTCATCTCCGGTGTCGTCCTCTTGACCTACAAGAAGCCCGAGAAGAAGCCCACGACCGCCGGCCCTCCTGGCGCCGTCGCCATGTCATCGCGGACACCGCGACGGGGCAACGGCCGGAAAAGCGACGACGACGACAGCGAGCAAGACGCACTCCGGGCTGGCGACGAGCCCGAGCCCGAGGAAGTGTGGCAGATTGGCGACATGAGCGACGACGAGGACGGTGCGCGGCCGCACAGTCCGCGCCCGACGCGCCATCGCAGCGCCAGTGCGCGGTCGAGGGGCGAGGGTGAGGAGGCGGGGATCCTTGGCGAGGAGGACGAGGAAGGCGGGCGCGACTCGACGTCGTCGGATGCGACGCTGGCGAGGACGGACAATCCGCCGCCTTATGCGGATGATGAGTTTGGCGGATGGGAGCAAGGGAAGCTGCGCGAGTGACCATGACTTGTGCTTGACGCTCCCTGTGGACTGTGGACTGTGGATTCATGCTGTACTTATATATGCATTACAGTACATTACCTGCTTAGACTAAACACAAACTCGCATTTGGACGTGGACTCAAATGTCTTTCGCCACAGGTGGGATTTAATTCTCAGATAAAGTTCGACTGCTCTCCGAGTTGATCGGAATCGCGTTCAGATCTTGAGTCCCGATGCAGGTGCTTTCCTGATTGAGATGTCCTCGTCGTCCAGTGGTTTGCCTACTTAGTCTCTACCAAGACCCTCCAGTCCTCGAGACCATCAAAGGACAACATTGAACCTCCGTCAACGCTTTTTTGCTTTCGTACTACTTACACCAGCAAGGATCCCGATATTACACAACAAACACAACGTAACATCGGCGCGCACCTGTGCTAAACCTGTGCCTGCGCCGATGATCATAGAATCGATCAACTTGAACATCATCAGGTACTCAGACGGATAAGAGCGAGTGAGCGAGATTGCTGGACGAGGACTCCTTGTAGGTGCAACCTTACGCTTGGACTCAGACTTGGTGAGGGATGGCAATGCGTGGTTTCTTCCGCCGTCGTGGAGTGTAAATTAGCAAGCTGAGGGGACCCAGCAGGCGAGGATGGAATCATGTATATAGAGGCGGACGGTCGCTACGGGCGAATTCGAGTCGAATCGTATTGCTCGCCATACATCGCTCCGTTACAGTCCTATACAAGTCCTGTAAGACGGCAATAACAGTATGATGTAATGACGATAACAGTGCTAACTAATGAACTCTGTATTGAGATAAGAAACGAATGTAAGTCGCGCCACTGGCACCCCCAGAACCCTCCGAGTCGGCTCTGCGTCAAACCCCTCACACGTTTGCCGTCGTACTGCGTCTCACTCAGACACTTCCAACTCTTTCCTGTTTGTCGGCATCTTCTGGGCTGTTGTTCGTTCAGTTGCGAAAGGTAACAATTGTGTTATGTCTTCACTAAGCGAACAGTTGCAGAACCTGGTATCTCGCTTGCAGGCACTAGGCAGGGAGCATCCAGCGAACGATACCGTGAAGGATGCGATCGCACTTCTCTCGAAGGTCGATCTCAATGACCTACACGCGCGGTCCACTGCTTGGCATGCTATCGAGGCTGATGTCAACACGCTGGCCCGGACGGGTGTATGGGCGCCCAGTCAAGAAGATGAAGAATTGCTCGAGCAATTGAGAACTAGCCTGAGTGGGACATGTAAGTCATCACTTTTCTGGAGTAACAGAGTCGTCTGATTGCTCATCTCATGGCACATATCTAAGGGCCACCACAGAACCTTGCATCATCGCCGAATGCTCAGCAAAGTGCGCAACGATACTCTGTTGTAACGCCTCCGCCGATATCGGCACCGTTATTCCCGCCGACCGCCGGGGTAACGACGATACTGCCCACCGGCCTAGTGGAGGTTCTAAATTATAGCTATTTCCTACACCTCCTGGTCACCGATCAGGATCGCGTTCTTCCACCCGGCAAGTCGCTTCTCTCCGTGATGTCCAAGCCAGGAGCAATGGGCCATGGCGGAGCGGACGGAGAGCTACCTCACCTCAAAGACCGCATCCAAGACGTAGTTCACAAGGCGTTCTGGGACGAGGTACGCTACGAGGTGTGGGCATAAGCCCCAGATCTAACATCCGGGTTTGTGTTAGGTGTCTGAGACACTATCCAATCCCTCCGCCGCCGTGCAGATCCCGCGGCTCAGGCGATTGTACGAAGATATACACGAAGCCATCAAGCCCCTTATGCCCGCGAACCATCCGATACGCCTCATCCTGACATGCCCGCTCTCGCCTACCTCTTTCCCCCTCCGGTCTGCTCTCACGCACTTCCGGGAACTGCTCGTTTGCCTCCGCTCCCGCTGTGCGCCCATCAGAGACGCACACATAGACGCGCTCATACGGAACGTAGACGACCTACCGTCTCTGGCCTCGATACCAGACATGGCGAAGTTGGTAGCAGACACCGTGCGGTCAATCCTGGAACTCGCGGAGCTCATGAAGGAAGACCTCTCGCAGTTTGTCGTGGGTTCGATGAGCGAGAAGCAGCTGCGCGCGGTGCTGATGGTTCAGGCGGCCAAGCAGGAGAGAGAGGTGGTCTTCTCGCTGTGGCGTCCGGAACGGATACAGGAGCGCTGGAGACATTGGCTGGAGGAGCGGCAAACACACGACAACGTCCCAGCGGATGGACTTCCGGAACGAGTATGGGTACACCGCCTAGGACAAGCTCTGGCGCTTGCCATCCCTGTGTCCTGTCCGCTTCCGACAAGACCCATGCCAGGCGATGCGGATGACGAGAGTCGGACGGACACACCGACGAATCCGACGAACACCCTTCCACCCCCGCTCTTCTTCGTCTACCCGACCCTGCTGTACATACAGAATTATCTGCAGGCGCTGGTCATCGCCGCTACCCTCCGCTCACTCGTCCGGCTTCCAACGCAGCAGCTGCACCGACCCAGCACGGATGAAAGCGATCAGGAGAGCTTCATGGCGCGCCTCTGGACCCTCCTCCGAACCGAGATCGACGAGCAGCCAGGCTCGGGCGAAACCAAGCTCGTGAACCTTGCGGACGAAGTCATCCGCGTCCGCCGCAGGTTCACAGGGAGCGGAGACGCCCTGGACCCCGACGAAGAAGCGAGGTTGCGCGCCGCGGTAGACCGCACGCTGCAGCCGCACGATCCGGTCTTTGCGCTGTTGCAGAAACGTTTGCTCGCGGCGATCGCGGAGCGACTAGCGCACCCGGCAGAGACCTTGTCGCCTCGTTCGAGTACGATGCAGTTACCGGAGCGACTGCAGACGGGCAGGGGGCAGCCAGGGAAGCGTCCGACACTCGGATTGGCGTTGGACCACGATGCAGCCGAAGACGCACGCGCGGCGGCTCGTTCGGAGCAGCTTATGGTGAAGGGGTTCGAAGATGAGGTGTTGGTGAAGGCGGTGGGCGAGGGTCTGTCGAAGCTGAGATCGTGCGTTGAGTGGACCGAGCGAGTGTGGTCAGACTTGATCAAGACAGGCGCTATAGCATCTTCTGCATGAGTGCAGAGCCCCCCTAGAGCCTCTTGTTCAAGGACCCAAGTTGTTTCCACGTCATTAGATTCGGCGCAAGGTGACCTAATGTATGAAACCTAAGTGCCGTGGTAGATGTAGCGTCGGTCTGCTCGGTCAAGTCTATGTATGTCACGGCATGGCCACGGATCGCGGCGAACACATAACATATCAACTGTGTATTGTGGTTGCTCGTACGCTCATGAGCAAATTGATGCCCACGCTGCGAAGAAGTGAGTGTGATGCACTAGAGCATATGTATACCACTACTTACTTAGACTCTTGACGAGTACTCGGGCGGCGCACCCAAGTCCGAAGGTTCGGGTGCCTCGATGTGCACGTTCTGCATCATCGTGCGCAGATCCTCGATCATCGAGCGCAGCCCCAGCACATCGTTCTCACGCGACCCCACAGACACGCCGTTCGCCGCCGAAGGGGCCGTCGTACTCCCAGACGGAGGCTCTTCATTGACAAGCAGCATGGCAGAAGACGAGCCAGTTGAGGGCAGGACAGGCATTTCTTCCCTTGGCGATTCGAGTTCCCGGCGCTGCTTTTCCGTGAGTATGATACCTGGTGCTTGGGCCGCGAAAGCAGGTGCAGCCTGGAAGGGCGCGGGCTCTGTTGTTGTGCCAGCTGTGTCGAAGAGGGCGGCGTTCTTCTGGTTTCGATGACGTCGGAGTAACCATAGTATGAGTCCGGCGAGTGCAAGTAAACCGACAACACCACCGACGACGCCGCCCGCTACAGTGCTAACATCGACTTTGTTCCCGCCGGAAGCGCTAGAGCTTGTGGAGTTACTGGGGGCGATGCAGTCTGGGAGACGGTTACGGTATCGCTGCGCATCCGATGTAGCACGGCCATACGTGCGATATACTACAGGCTCACCTGCGCAGGAACGGGGCGAAGAGGCCTCCTAATGCGGGGCTGTCTCGCGAATTAGACGTCGGCTCACTAGCACAGAGTAGCACAACTGACCTCGCCATTCCATCCTGATAGGCACCAGATTCGACGTTATACACCGCGCCGAACGGGGTCGACGTCCCATTGAATGACGCATAGTTCCAGACCGCGTCAAGAAGCTGACTACGGACCGTGTCGTTGGTGCAAGTAGCCGCGATGAAAGCATTCCAGGCTGTGTATTCCATGTCAGTCGAGGTTGAGAGTAGTCTAGTAGGATATCGACACACCTACATTGCCAAGCGATTGTGCATTGCTCTGCATCGGCAACCCATGCGTATAGTCGGCTGGGAAAGCGGTGAGCAAGTGATACGAACGTAACGAAAGGGGTCCTTACCAGTTTCAGGTTGGATCCACTGCCCATACATGACAGTAAGCTTGTCAAGCCACTGTGTGGCGAAATCAGCACAGTGCATTCCTGTCAACAGCACAACGACGTACTGTCTGGTTCAGAAGGTTGAATCCAAACAGGATCTGCGGGTAGAGGTTATACGGTAAAGACCAGATGCCTGTGATTTCCGAGCCAAACTTCGGCTTCACGGACGCAGAGGCGCCTCCTGATGATATGGCAAGCGATTGCCATGTGTTCATATAGTTGGACGCTGTGCTCTGTGAACATGCTGACACTCGTCAGGATTCCGAGTTCTTGCCAGGTTGTAGTGTACAGTCAATCACTCACGCTGAACTGCTGAGAATCATTACTCTGCCCGACTAATTGACTGATCTCCGCCATGGCCTGGATGGCGAAGATACCCTTCACCGCCAGGTTGGTCGAGTTTGTGGCGTCACTTCCATCATCGACAGATAATCTACAGATTTATCGGTGAGCTATTTTCGGGCACCATAAAACATGATACGCACTGGCCCTGAGGAGGAAATGGCCCATGTGCCGTCAAATACTCTGCCCAATCCTTGAGCAAGGGATACTGCGTGCATGTGAAGGTAAGCTAAGCACACAATCCTCGAAGACGAACACGCACATAGCCATGGAGCAGCGACGTGTCGTTTGAGTATTTGGCGTGAGCGAGTGCAATGATGAGCATGTTCCCGGACTCTGCAATTACCACTGGTCAGCAGGCGGATCTTCGCTGCGGCAAAGCATGTTCACGTTCGATTGCCTCTGCATATGTAAGGTTCGGACCAGATACATCCGGGAACAAGGAGCCTTAACAAGACCATCAACACGCTGTTGTCGGCAAAGTGTGATGAGAGCTCACCGAGGTCTTTCGATGCGTACGGATATGCGCCCAACGACGTATTCTGTTGTTCAAGGAGTGGTGCCAGGAGTAGCTTGACTAGCGAGGCATTGTAATACAAGAACATGGGCAGTGCAGCATACAGTTTCTCCACGGGAGTAACACGTCTGTGGATTGTTGCGTGAGATACGGAGCGCTTGCATGGGCCCAGGATGACTCACTGACTGGTGCCCAAGTCTTTCATGAAGATCCTAGTCGTGCCGTCCGACTGATAGGGAGCCGTTATTTCGAGAGAGCTGAACACCTGGCGAGTGGCGAGCGAAAGCATGTCGTACAGTTTACCGTCCACCGAGATGCTGGAAGCCGCTTCACGGACTTGCGTATCGAACAACTTTGCCTGAGTCAGCGAGTCGTTGAAATCGGAGACGAAGAACTCCAACTACATATGCGAAGTTCAGTGACATGGGCCAACAAAGCTAGCTGTGTCATTACTCACGGCGTCTTCGGTGGTAGGATACTGTGTGGTGTAGTACGGGCGGAGGGATACCGTGTTTCCTGACAATGTGTAACTGATGCTTGGATCGCGTACATAGCCAACTGTCCAGACAACGGGTGAGTCCAGAGAAGCAACACTTCCTAAGTCGACAGAGATTGGGAAGACGGGCCAGTCACTGTGATGTGCATGAGCTCCTGATGCACGCAGCAGAATATAGCGCCCCTACTCATCGATATCCCGAAACGTACTGTTGTTGTCATTCGGGTTCACGCGGCCGGTATCTACGAACCCTCCGCGGCAGGCATTTTGTTCGCAAGTCTGCCAAGTGATATTGCGTCCCTGTCCCTGCCAATGAAATCAACATAGTCCATGACATGCATGACAAACAACAAGTTCATGTACCAGCCCCATCGCAAAGTACATTGCACCATCTATGGCTCGTCCTGTCAATGCTTGCTCTTGGAAAGGCACCTGGTTTACGAGCTCAAATTGATGATAAATGATGGTACTGGTTTGCGTTGGCGGCCTCCACGACATCTCTTGATCTTCCCTGGAGTCATCGGCGAGCCATTCTAGAAGAATAATATCAGCCCACAAGTAACGAGACGTGTGCATGCGTGTAGATACCACTCACGTCCAGTTAGGTCGCAGTACATCTGTATGGCATGTGGTTGGCCATCGGTGGATGCAAATCCCACGGCCGCATAGGCGAACGGAAGGGATTGGCGTATGAGGTCAGACGGCTTGTCGTGATGTCAGCATCGTGAAGATTGCTTGTGGGTCACAAACCTACACTTATGGGACTGAGAAACGTCAAGGTAATGTTCATGGGACCGGCTTCAATGACTTGTATGGTACGAGTGGGGGTCAGTTCCGTCTGAACGATACTTCCAACTGCCACGGTGTAGTTGGGCGGAAAATTGTTGTCGCCAAACACAATGTACGTCTCTCCATCCACTCGGATGTAACAGTTCCACCCAATATCATACTAAACCGCGAGATCAGTCCACTGGCATGAGTATGCACGGAAACTGAGGATCGTACCGACGTATCCAAAAAAGACGGCATTTGGTTGTGAAGAATGTCCACCGTCTTCACCTTGTACATCCATGTGTTCAAATAAGGCGTGCGAACAGCAAGCGGTATCGCTAAAGGCCAGAATGTTTGTGACCCATGCACTTGCAAGAGGGCAAAGCGTGCAAGAAAGAGAAAGGCGCCGAGAGCAAGGAGCGTCATGGAGGAAGCGGCGAGGGAGCGGGGCCAACTCAGCGTCGCCTGTAGATACCGGGCGGCGAACCTTGTGACAGCGAATGCCTGGCTATTCTGAACGTGGATGAGCGCGGATGTGGATGTCAAACCACTGTGATATCACAGCCCCGCATCTCATGCCACATCTTGCTTGTAACATTGCAGGAACGGTAGCACGCCACCGGCGTCGTCTTCCTTTGCTCCGGGGACCACCCTAAGGTTCGCATTGATGGCACCTTGCTGGTCAACGTGACGAATGAATCCGAATCTGATTGGGTTCATCACCATTGACCCATCCAAACATAGATCGAGGCTGTCAATTACTAGGAGCGTCCGACGCTATCCGGCACCATCACAGATACGTGGTTGCGTGACCACAGTATCAGAAGTAAGTTGGAAGAATCTTGACACCTTGGAAAGCATTCAGAACTGAATATAGCCACGATTCTGCCATATTGACGAACCCAGTGTGGAACTGCCTCATGGCAGAGCCTGTTGGCAAGATATGATGGAGGAGCGAAGGTATGCCAGAGTGGCTTCCGGAGGAGGACTGACTTACGAGAACGTGCAGCGGATCCATCTCACGACGCACAGGACGGCGGAGGCGACATTGTCTGTTACATGTGTATCAAGGGAGACTGTGGCCTCATAGCAACTGCAAGTATCGGAATTGAAGACCTGTAATTCTTCAAAGTCAGCTATCACTGTAACTTCACAGAGCTTAAGACGAAACGATCAATGATAACGAGAGTCACCCTCGAAAAGCCACATCGACTTTCCTAGATATTTCTCTCTGGTGCGTAGCCAACATTTTGAACATGACAGAAGCTGTACGCATCAATGCGGCGAGAAATACCAAGCGCATGAGTAAATCTCCTGTCTTCCCCGAATCACAATGATGAAAAGATATGGATGAAGTATCCCACATCCGTCATAATTTGGATTCTGCTCCGCTCGGAGATGCATCGCCTCCCTACGAACTCACATAGAGTTTACGTGCCCAGGGAAGAAGAAAGAAACACGCAACTCACAAGTAAGTCCATGAAAGAATCGCGCGACCTTATTCCCAGGCTTCCTCTCAGCCTATGTATACCACTGCCCTTCGATGTGTTATCAGCCCCGGTCCACCGGCATCGCGCCGACGTGATCGTCTACTGAGATTGGAATTCGAGGGTGTATACTGAGCCTTGAAGCTTGACAGGCCAACATCGATCCGAATAGAGACTGAGATGTTGCCCGAGGAGTACAGCATTTCGACAATCGAGTGTCGTCTTCCTTGTCCGGACACATCTACATATCTTCGGTGCGGCCCATCCATCGATGTAACACATTTTATCAGTTACCCGTTGTACTTAGCCCGTGCAGTGTACCATATCCCCTCCGCATCCGTGATCGCCCGCGCATACTTCAGCAGGAACTTGTCCCGCTCCTTAGCGTCCACAACGATGTCCGCGAGGAACGGGGAGATCTCGTCAGCCTTCCAGCGCGGCCGTGTGAGGAAGAGGTCCGTGAAGCGCGCCGCGGGGTCGATGGGGAGTTGGAAGGACGGGAAGTATGTGAGGACCACGATAGGCGGCTCTTTGAGTACGTCTGTTTGTGTGAGGTATTTGCCCTGGCACGGGTATCAATACGACACGAGGGCATTCGACGGGAAAGGTTTACGGAGAGGAGGTCGACGGACATCTCAGACTCGAAGGTGTCGCCAACGCTTTTACGCCATTTTGTGAGGAAGTCGTCGATTGGTACTGACTCTTCCTGCGGTCCAATATGATTTAATCAGCTAGTTTCTAGCAAGCAGACCACGCACCCTGTAAGGCCTCAGCAAGCCGAGACCGATCTCTCGCACAACGGCAGTTTTGTCCATGCACCACTCGCCGTCGATCATGTCACCGAACCAGGCCATCACCTGTTTACAGACGTCTTTTCGGACGTCGTAACCGTCCTGAAGTGCAGAGCTTAGCGCATCCATTGACGCAGAATCATGCGGGAGCGATAATGAGACAAGATGGGTGAGTTAAAGCTCGAGTATGGCGTTCAGGTAGGTCGGAGAGATCGGGCGGAGCTCGCCTGCGTGATGTGTTCTAAGTAGCAAAAGGACGATACGATCGAGGCCACACACCGTTGAGAATGAGAACACGTCTCTTCTTGAGGCCCTGGTCTAGCTCTATGTCGCTCGCTTGTAGCGTCGCCATTGCCTCTTCATACGTGAACTTCTGTCGGATCATTGGTGTTATGAGCCCGCGATTCACGGGCCAGTGTTCCGATTGACACACTTACCTACCTCAGATTCGTCCATATACATATCATCATCCCCCTCCTGCCCTTCGTCGTACCCTTTCCCTCGTAACAGAACGTCCAGCTTGTGAAGCCTCGGGACCGACGGCACCAGCTCAAGGATTTCGTTTAGTTGATCTCGCACCTCTACAGAGGTAGAATAAGAAGCCTCGTCGGTAGAGGTGTCTTCCCTGTCCCCTGCTGTTGCCATAATGTCGGAATTTGAGAGAGCTATCGAGCGAATGGTGTACGTCTTGTCTGCGGTGCAGAGCACAGCATCTTCGTCAGGGTTTCCCTTGATTGACCAGCTGCACGGATGTTAGGTACAGGTGTCATTTGATAGTACTTCTAGGAGGTATACTTCGACGATTCATCGGGATTCGACTCGACCAGCTTTCTCTGGTCGGGTGGCAGCTCAAGCAACTTGAACGCAGCCGTGTCCGCAACCGCAGAAGAAGAGAACTTCAGGGTATATTCCGGTATGGAACTAGTAGCATAAGCGTTAAGTTACAAGCAAGCTTGACGAGTAAGTATGAGGATCGACATAGGCGCAAGTTTCAACCACCGTGACGCGAAAACACGGTATGTGCATGTGATCATGTGTAGTAGGCGCCCGCGTAGAACCGTCTCTTCATACGTATGTACAAGCCTTGCCTCCTCTTACAAGCTGCATACCACCTGCTACTTCATTCTTCGGAACAGCCCATCAACATATTCAATCAACCTCAGGGCTGCATACACAGCCAACTGTTTGGATATCATTTGGGATGACGAGATACACAGACTTTTCCCGCAAACGCACCTACGTGCAGGCTGGGCTGAACTACCGAGAGGACGACACCGAAGGCGAGGAGCAGGCTGTGGAACCTATACAAGCTGGTAGTAGTAGTGGCCACGAAGGAGTAGCACAGGAGGAGCAATCAGCCGAGCCCTCGAAAAAGAGACGAAAGAACGGTTCGTCAAAACGTAGGAAAACCGAGTCAGCAAATACCGCAGCTGCTACGAAGGTTTCTGGGGAATCTCAGCAGGGACGACATGATCGAGATGATGATGATGAAGCAGTGGATGGCGAGACACAGGGTGATGAGACCGGTGCAGGCAAGGCTAAGGCTGAGGTCAGTGAGGGCACAAAGAAACGGAGCAGGGGTGCTATCAGGGCCGAGCGGAGACGCATAAGAGGTCCGTACTCGCCGAAACCAATGTCTTCATTACTGACTTCCACTCATACAGATGCGCAAACCCGTAAGGAGTCCTCTGAGCGACGACGGCTCAAGCGGAAAGATCAGCGCACGTCCGACACCGTGTGCTTTGCTTGTCGAGAAAGGGGTCACGCAGCCCGAGAATGTACGAAAGCCCTCAAACCGCTTGAAGAGAGCGGCAGTGCGAGCGCAGGTCCCAGAGCGAAGAAGAGTATTGGAAAAAGTGCCGTGGGGATTTGCTACAGGTGCGTGTGTGACCATCAAACACGTCGGGCTCCTTTTCACCGTGCTGCTAGGTGTGGCTCCCGGGCACACAATCTATCGGCATGCAGGGAGCCAGTCGACCCTTCAGACCCTCTACCATTTGCGTCATGCTTCGTGTGCTCGGGCAAAGGTCATCTCGCCTCGGCATGTCCGCAAAACCAGTCCAAGGGCGTCTACCCGAACGGCGGATGCTGCAAGCTATGTGGCGAGATAACTCATCTGGCGAAGGACTGCGGGCTGCGCAAAAAAGGTGAGGACTTGTCGAGCCGGAGCTCTATCGCAACAACTGATCCGCAGTTATTGCAAGATGTCACAGCCTCAGCTACCGTACTGGGCACAGGGGAGGATGCCGGTGCCGACGAAGACGACTTCCACGCCCTCAAGCGCCACACCGCCGAGGTCGATAAGTCGGAGAAGCTCGAACATCGGGTAAAGCGACAGGCAAAGGTCCTCGTCGGCGTTCACTCCGGCGTCGTGAAGTCGTACGCAGACAGGACAATCGCACCGGCGAAGAAGGTGGTCAGTTTCTGAAGCGGGGCACATTCCCTGTACACAGTGTTTTGTCTCGACGCTGGTCGGCAGTACCGTGCGGTCTCAATGCAAAGATGCTGTTCACTCGCTGTTTCCATGACACGTGCCAGTCTGGTATGGGCTTAGTCGCTGGCGCTGAAACTCGACGGACCGGGCAGAAGATCAGGTCATCCGCAAGTTCTCCGAACACATAGAGCGGCGCTCGACATTGGCCCCCAATTGGTACCACTTTGCCCTGGTGAATCGGGTGATGCTGTCCAGGTGCTAGCCTATCACAGTCCGGTCACAGTATGTGAGCGCATTGCCAGGCATACAGAAGCGCGGTAGCGGCGAATGCAGGCGGACGGCAGTGCAAGGTAAGCCATATATATAACTAAAGGTCCAGGTCGTCTCTGGAGGTACATCTTCGGCACGCCCGAAACAGGGCCTTGCGTTTTTCATCCTGCCTGTGCTTTGCTTACGCAGTGCAAGACCACACTCGCCATGACCAGCTCCGCAATGTCGTTTGGTAGCGTCTTCGTGTCTCTGATCGTGGCATTCATGTACGTCGCTCGCCTCTCGATGACTTTCCTATGGTGAACCTCCCTCTGTTGCTTGCCTTGCAGAGTATTCGGCATGACTATATGCCAATTCTGCTTATATCGACGCAGTTTTCCTGATGACGTGACGCGCATGAAAGCTGTAGTCTACGCTGTGATGTATGCCGGCGGTTTACTACATGCTTGTTTGGAATTCCCCAACTCACGGCCGTAGGATGCTGGATATCGCACATACGATTGTATGCGTTGCGATGTTATATACGTACCTGGTTCGTTGGCACGGCCTGGAGACGAACCTCGCCTTGCTTCACTGGTAAGGCTCTTGTTCAAATGGTTGCCGTATTTGTGATGTTGATGGCGCTCGAGGGCAGGACCGCTGCAGTGAGGCTGTCATGTCATCTCTTCCACATCAAATCCGGTTGACTCTCATATAAAACTCTGGGTCACAATCTTTTTCCAGGTTTGCTGTGATTCATCGGCTAACAAGGCTTTAGCAGTACTTACTAGTGTCGCAGAGCTCGATCGTAACCATAGTGCAATGGTACGTACGCTCAAATAGGACCCTTGACGGCAGTAGTTCACATCTTGACTACAAATCAGCTCTTATGTCTACAGAATATGGATCCGTGCGTCTTCTCGAGACGATTCATCCTTCGGACAACCTATTGAGACACGGTAGTCAGCGAGAGGTCCTTTAAAGTGTTGTTGATCCCTGTATGTCTCGGGCTCCTCTTCTGCGAAAGCGTGTACTGATTCGCGTTATTCCAGATCTTACTGACTGTCGTCCGTATAAGTAGGTCCCCCCTCTCTTTCCCCAGCTCGGCGTGACCTTTTACTGACCGTCCCGTTTCTGGAGTCGTTGGCTACGGTGAGCAGCTATGTATAATGGCACTAGGACTTCGCCGTGACGCTGGCGTGTAGTTACGGCAGTGGCTATGTGGGTCCTGTTGCGAAAAGTTTGCTGTCAGCATCTTTCTCAAATGTCCATCAGGTTCACCTTGCACGTCTGGCCACAATATCGCAAGAATCACGTCGCGACGGTTCGTCTGCGTCACTCTTTCGGTTTCACCGTGTATTCACATATTCAGTGCCTGCTCTAGGTCGTATTGTCTGTGGGACTTGCATCCTCGGCTGCGAATGATATAGTCATTACTGCAAGTCAAGTATACTATCTTCACCGAAGGCGAACTGGACTTCGGGGGTACGTGCTCTGTCGCGGTCATAATCACCCACTCACTGTGGCATTGCTGCACCGACAGGACGGGATATATCATCCGGACTGTTATGTTCTACGCGATAAACTTGGGAGCTATGACAATGCAAGCGACAACGTTCTCTGTTCATACTGCTGTCGTTAACCCAGCCATCGCTTCGATTAATCATTCAGGTTGTTCTCGATAGCTGTGCTGTTGACGGTACGTCTTAATGGCCCGCTGCGTGTTCATGCCTAAGACGTCTTCGCCCCACTAGTTCGTTCTTGATCAGAGCTCCCTCTTATTTGGCGGTCTCATCGAACTGCAAAGCAAGTGTGCGTAGTATCGCGTCTACGCGCATGTCACCGCTTAGTGACATACACCCTCTGTATCGCAGTATTCGCAAATTCGCTGCTTATCAAGTGAGCTTTCATGGATGGCAGTTCAGGCCCCAGGAGTCGCAGACTGACCTACTGGTTCGTGCAGCATCAATGCGCGACGAACTCTTCGTATAAATCAACCAAGCGCTGTCGACATCGATCCTCCTAATCTCGAGGACATCGTATCAGCCCAGACAGACTTGTTACCTGCAGGGCGAAACCAGGCATCGTCGAGTCAGCGCGGTCCGAAGTACGAGCACTCGCAACGCGAATCCGGGCTAGCCACGCTTCAATCCAATCAGTCTTTCTCGGTGGAGCTGGATGTATGATGCTAAATGCTGGCATGTTTGGCGCTGAAGAACCTTCTCTGTAAGTATCAACTTATCACAAACAAGATCCGGGATAGAAATTCATCGAAGGCAGACTGGATACCTGAGTAGCGCTGTGATGTGACGGAGGCTATTGCTGTAAAGAAGCGATGATCGTACACGACAGATTGGTGAGGTCCAGTAACATCTTGGTATCATTATCCGAACAGTCTCGACGCTGTATTGACCCAAGGTACTGTGCTTCTGTGATGAGATGACTCCATGTTACTGATATCAGTATCGGACTTTCCAAGGGTGAGGGTAGGGTGTCTTGTTCAGCGCGCTGGCTGTATGTGGCAATCAATATCCCTCGCAGCGTACTGAGCAGTATACGAAGTATTCTGCTGCTCCAACAGCGGGAGAAGGAACGGCTTCACCATCGAAGCGTTGAAGTACAGGAACATCGGCAGTGCGGCATACAAAGTCTCGACGGGAGTCACTCGGCTGCTCTGCGGATCTAACTGCCAGGCGTACATCAGAACTGTTAGTCCCAACACGATGGTGTTCAGTGCGTCGTCTCCAATGATCACGAATGGAAGGCGGTGAAAGTTGCAAAAGCTACATGAAGCCGTCGACCCAGGAAATCTTGAGTGAGCCGACTACCATCCGCGACACCTTGCATGCTCAGCTACCATAGTGCTATAGCGCCTCCGACTCAATCGCCATGAAAGATATTTTTAGATCGCTCGGACTTGGAGGTGTTTTTGTAACCATGTCATTCACATTCCCGTGTGTGGCCTGTCTCTCGACAGAGGAAGAGACATTCACATTTTGTTTTCCTGTCAGGCTGCTGGGCATAATCGCATGCCAATTCTGCTTGTATCATCGCAGCTTTCCTGAAGACGCAAGACGAATAAAGGCCATGGTGTATATTGTCCTGTATGTCAGCTGTTGATTGGCCATTCACTCTATAGCACAGAGTCCTAATGCCGTTGACTACAGTATCTTGGAAATTGCTCGCACACACGCATGCGCCGTCATGATAGACGCATATCTCGTACAGTGGCACGCCATGGGCAACGATGTGGACTTTATCTATTGGTAAGCTTCAACCGAATTGCCATAAAACGCGTGGTTATGAACGAGTCTTGATTTCACGCATGTGCACCGACAGGACTCCAGGGGTGAAACACCATGACTATTCCCAACCCTAGGTCGTGCTGACCTGGCAATCCATGCGTGTATCTAGCTCGTCGCCATTCTCCAGGTACATTCAACAGTCATGAACTGGTATACGTCGCTCACATGATCATGATATGCCAGAATACGAGCGTAACAATCGTGCAATGGTACGCCCATGGCAGGTCCAGCAAGATCATGTGCTGACGAGCTCTCACATATCCAGCTTCTATATCTGGAGAATTTGGACATGTGCGTGTCAGACAGCACTGTGATCAATATGAGCCGTACCACTCAACCTATACCAGTCAGCGAAAGGGCCTACAGAGTTCTGGTGATACCTGTACGTTTTCTGCTTTCGGAATAAGGATAATAGCTAACTTCATCCCAGCTGGTATTGACAGCCATCCGTATAGGTGAGCAAATTGTCTGACACTCCATTTGTGGCTTGACAGTGTCTTTTGCAAGCGCTCGGTTATTGTGCGTTTTCCTGTTGTCGTGTAGACACATGCGACGACAAGCTGATGTGGGTATGTAGATACCGCCGTTCTCATGTACGTTTTGGTCGAGTAGCGCCAACGCTTCAACAACGGATGACTCACACAACTCACTGAACAGGTTCACTGCCAATAGCTGGTCCCAATATCGCGAAGAACTCACTGCCAATGTTCGTTCAGATTAAGTTCCGTGAAATGTATCACATCAGACTCGCTCAATCTGGGACTGCAGGTCATATTGCCGGTCTCACTCAGTTGTGCGGCGGTGAACGACGCAGTGATCATCGCAAGCCACTTCGGCGGAGGCGGACCGGAGCCTGCGGGTACATTTGCTTCCAACCTGGCCCGGGAGCAGAATGCAAGCTAATGCTGTACCTTAGAACAGAGTACATCATACGGACCATTATGATCTACTCCGTGAATATGGGAGCCATCACGATGCAAGTCTGAAAGCCCAATTAATGACTGGCTTCCGTACACTAACCACTGGCACATTGACTTGCGATCTTATCCAACTGAACAGGGCGGCGTCGGTGGCTGCGCTATTGGCGGTATGTCCTAGAGAGCTTCAGCATGCGTAGAAGTTACTCATATCGATGCGATCCCCTATATTAGTTTGTTCTGGACAAAAGCAGCCTCTACGGCGGAATCGTCGAGCTGCAGTGCAGATGTGAGTCACGTAACTCCCGCACCCTTCGAATCTCATCTAACCCTGACTCTGAAATTCTTGGCCCTTCTTGATCGCCACATCGCAGTGTTTGCGATCTCGTTACTGGCGAAGTGGGTGCTCAAACGACGTCCACCCGTACAGTGACAGTTTAGCTGACCTTCTCTAGCCTCAACGCCAGACGAACGATGCGGGACAACCAGCCGAGGGATGCTGTCGAGTTCTACCCCCACAACTTCACCGGAGACGCCGCGCAAGGCTCATCCCGCTTGTCCCCCGGAGGCCCTCAACGACAGCTGATTCCCAAGCTACTTCATAACCCGAGCCAGTGACACGCGAAGGATCGACCGTCCCTCATCCTCGACATCTAGCACACACGAACGACCTCAAGATACACGCACGAAAATCCCAGCATGCATGCAAGGCTAGCGTATGCATCCAGGAAATTTATCGTCCGGGGTAGGATATCTATTGTACTTGCTAGACAGAAACAATGCGAGCGCCGGTAGCTGGTATACAACAGAGCTAAGGCGACACAAGATAGATGGTCGTTGGTGGTACAGCGGGTTTCCGAGAGACACAGTCAGAGGGCGCAAAGATAGCGGAGAAAGCTACGACAGAGCGATGCGATGGTGATACACTGTCAGAGTAGATAGGAGATCCGGGAGAAGTGGATGTCGAGAGCGATGTCAAGGGCGATGTGAGGCCGGTTAAATATGTCGACTGTATGTGTCTTGCGCGGTGGGTGCGTTCTAGTGCTCATCGCTGAGCTCCCCTTCCTCTTTCTCCTCCTTCTCGGGCGGGGGCGAAGGCGAAGGAGCGATGGGTGCCAGTGCAGGCAAGGGCTCTTGGACTACAGGAGGAGCGTCGACCTCCATCTTCTCTTCGTCCTTCTGTTCTTCAGCTTTGGGCTTGTCATTGACGAGCGTGTTGACGAGATTGTCCACCGGTGACGGGGGCATCGCGCCCTCCTCCTCTTCGACCTGCCCCCGCGGCGTTTCCTCAGCCTCGCCTTCCTCCTCTTCCTTCTTGCCTCCGTCGCCATCGGACGCGCTCTCTCTGGCGGCTTTCGCGCGCGTGGTACGCGTATTCGCAGCGATTGACACCGACACGGACGTGTTCGTCGACGCGCTCGCGCTCGAGTTCCTCCGCTTGGTCGCGGGCGCACGCGCCTTCCGCGTCCTCGTGCGCTTCGGCTCCGGTGCAGCAGGGAGCTCCGTCGCCACCTCCTCCGTCTCCGCGCCCTCCGGCGAAGGCAGTGCCTCTGCCTCAGGAACCTCCTCGACGCTCGCCACCACAGCCTCGCTCACAAGCGGCGACGCGACCACGGGCGTCGCGTTGCCCGTACCACGCGGGTTCCGCGTACGCTTCGCCGGTGGCGGGAATGCACCGTCGACCTCCTCCGTCTCTGCCTTGCGTTTGCGCCTCGCGCCGCCCGCGCCACCACCCGCGCGCCTCTTGCGCGGACTGCCCGGAGCGCGCGTACCAGCCTCTCGCGGGGCGCTCTGGGCGCTCGTCGTCGGTACCGCTGCCGCGTCCTCCTCGTCTGCGTCGTCGCGCTCGCGCACCTTCGCCGCGGGCCGTCGTGCACGCGACGAGGAGCGGCGCCCGGGGTCGGCGGGCTCGTCGACCGCGTCGTCGACGTTGATTTGGTTGGGGAGGCCAAAGAAGCCGGGGTCGAGCTTGGGCAGGGAGAGCGCGAAGGGCCCGAGTGGGTGGTAGAGAGGGAGCGCGGGTGGCTGGCGATGCTTCGTCGCGTGCGTGCTCACGTACGGCACGATGACCGTCACCGTTGTGCCTTCCGTGGTAGACTTGTCCGAGTGGGACGCGGAGGAAGAGGCTCTGGGTGTCGCGCGGGGGATGGCTGCGCGCAGTATGAGTTTTGCGCGCAGGTTTGGAGAGCGAGAGACTTACGGTATGATAGCTGATCGGATGTGGTGTCGAACGAGGGTGACTTGTAGGTGTGTATGGGTTTGCGGCGGATCGTTGAGGTCGCCATTGCTGCGTGGGTGCCGCTACGTGTTCAAACAAGAAAATATGGGAGATATCGAGGAGAGAGAGAGTCCGCTGGGATGCTGGCGGGGTGCGGAGGTTGTGGGCGGTGGGAGGAGAGCAAGCGTCGCGGGTGGGCCGTCCGCGTCCTCCACACGCTCAGGCCTCCTCGAATCTCGATCCCAGAACGCGTCGACCACGTGGTTATCTTATCTCGCTCGGGTCCCGTGACGAGATCGACAATATAGCAGCCACTCGATTCGCCACCCCATTGCCGGCATGCATTGCTTCTCGTGTGTTACCTCTCCAGCTTCTTCCTCCACCCCATACACCATTCACGATTCCCCGTACCGCGCTGCCGTTGCTCACGATTTCTATAGGGTCTGTGTCTGTTATGTGTCAATTCTCTAGAATTCCGAGGATTCACAAAGGCCCTTCAAGTTGTGCCAGACGAACTTGGGCCGCATTATGGTCGGCAGGTTCCCCGTCGCATGGTCTAATCCCGCTGTAGAACCATGCCACTGCGCATGGTGCGAGAATCAATCATTGTACTCTTTAGGTATGTGATAGGATTAATATGTCGGCGGTGAGCTCGGATTAACCGTCCATTCTGGCATAGATTCTCGCTTCACGGATGTACGGTGCCCTAAGTGCTCGGGTCAATCCCGCGTCGTCCATCCCTCCTGTCAATTTGTCCTGGCCTAAACCACTCAGAGCAAGCATACGTATCTCTCAGGCGTTTCTCCGGGGCCTCGGCAGCAGGGAAGGTTCGCAACGGCCGGCTGCAATAAATAACGACCACTGCGCTACACGTCCCCTCCCACCCTCTACCCAGTGTGAGCTTGATATATCGTCTCGATGATCGCTTCGCAAATTTGGCTCAGTAAGTCGAGCAAGAAGGCACATGTTCTATTGACTCTGACGGAGATCCCGCAGTCACCGGTGCTTCGTCAGGTTTCGGGAGGCTCGTCGCAGAGACGGTCCTCGAGAATGGCGGCATCGCGATCGCCACCCTTCGGAACCCCGACGCCCTCTCAGATCTCGCATCGCGATACCCGCCCAGCAAGCTCTCGGTCCTCAAACTGGACGTGCGCAACGCCGACGAGATCCGCGATGCCTTCGCCCAGGCGAAGGAGCTCTTCGGCCGGATCGACGTTGTCTTCAACAACGCGGGCTTCACACTCATGAGCGAGGCGGAGAGCGCGTCCGAGGACGTCGCCCGGGAGCTGTTCGACGTGAACTTCTGGGGTGCGGTGAACGTCAGCCGGGAGGCTGTCAGGTTCTTCCGCGAAGTGAACAATCCTCAGGGCGGTCGACTCTTGCAGGCGTCGTCTGCTGGGGGCATTGAGAGCCTCTCTGCCCTCCCGTACTACTGTGCGAGCAAACATGGTGCGTTGCCGGCCCGAACGATCGTACGAGTGGCCTGATGATCCAATGTCGATTCTAGCGCTCGAAGGCTTCACGGAAGGTCTCGCCGCAGAACTCCGGCCAGAGTGGAACATCAAGGTACGGCACCCTCACGAACCCATGCACTATACACTCACTATGCAGCTGCCTTGGTTCAGGTCACGTCGATCGTCCTCGGCTCATACCACACCAACGCCGGACCGAACATGAAGCGTCCACCCCCGCACCCCGCTTATATCGACGCCGACACGCAGCAACCCACCGCTCGGCTGCATCTCTACACGAAGCCAGCCGCCTACCCCGAGGCCGCCGCCCATCTGATCTGCAAGATCGCGGAGCTGCAGGACCCACCTCTGCGCGTGCCGCTAGGCCAGGACGCCGTCGAGACCCTGCGGAGGAAGGGGCAGAGTCTCCTCGAGACCGCGGAGGAGTACCACGCGTGGTCGGAGAACGTGCCGTTGATGAGTATAGAGGAGTTCCTGTCGAAACTGAAGCAGCAGACCGCCGGAGCTGCGACAGTAAATTGAGTCTATCGTCGACGGTTCGCTGACACTCGTCAACACATGTATAGCTAGCAGGGAGGGTGGAGTGGAGACTAAGGCACTGACGGATGTGTATGTTACATCATGAGGCAACAATTGGCTCGAGAAGCCCGACAAAGGATCATCGATGCCATAGGGCTTAATGGGCAAGAACTCCCGCATCCACTGCAGACCGCAAAGTATAATTTAGATGAGACTATCAAAGCTATCGACAGTGGTATCAACGACTTGGGACTGGATATGCTGACTAAACTTGAAGAAGAATCAGACCTCAATTTAACAGCGAGACAGGAAACTCAGAGCTTCAACCCAAAGCGAACAGTGCAGGCTACGAATAACCCGGTGGCGCGCCCAAATCCGACAGCTCTGGTCCCGCGACCGGCGCGCCCAGCACGATCCTGCGCAAATCCTGGATATCCGAGCGCAGGTTGAGCAGTTCGTCTAGACGCGATCCGAGCGGGTCGCTGGTCGTTGGGGGAACCGTCGCATGATTAGGCACAGAGGGTGCGGTGCGTACGGCTGCAGACGAGTCCGTTGATGGCAACGGTGGTACCCCTTCCTGCGAACCCCGTCGCCGCTTCTCTGGAAGGACGATAGGTGAGTACGGAGCGGAAGACTTGAAGGGCATGGGCTCTAAGAGATCAACGTCTCCTCGGGATCGGCGATGTCGAAGTAGGTGGAGTACGCCAAGCCCGACGAGCAGGAGCAAACCGACGACACCGCCGACTACGCCGCCTGCTATGGCTCCGACATTGGTGTGAGACGAAGTGACGCTGTTGGAGGGCGAGTTCCCGCCTGTGGAGGCCGCTATAATGGTACCGCTGTTTTCCATGTGAGTTAGTGAATGATTGTCGGCACGCTCGTCACTGCTATCTTACCTTCGCAGTATTGGAGCGAACAAGCCTCCTAGCGCGGGACTGTCTCGCATCAGACAGTGGCCTCTACATGAGATGTACTAGAAAGACTGACCTCGCTGTACTGTTCACGTAGGCACCACTCTCGACGTTGTACAGCGCAGAGAATGGGAATGTCGAGCCGTTGTTCGACGCATAGTTCCATAGTGCGTCCAAGAGTTGCCGACGTACTGTGTCATTGGTGAAGGTTGCGGCCGTGAACGCATTCCACGCTGTCGAGAGGCATAAGGGGCCGAGATCACTTCAAAATATATAACACCAACACACCTGAGTTGCCAGGCGAACTGTACGTGCTGTCGATGGGTAATCCGTACGCATACCCATCTGTATATTTGTAAGGACATCAGCAACGACTGGCGGAAAGGATTTCTTACTAGCTGTAGATTGGACTCGTTGTCCGTATGTCACCGTGAGCTTGTCAAGCCACTGTGTGGATATGTCAAGTGTCAGAATAGCACACGCTGGCAGCCTGATGAGATGCATGTACCGACTGATTCAAAAGATTGAACCCCAACAGGGTCTGAGGATAGAGGTTGTACGGCAGACACCAGCTGTCCTGGTCGCCGCCGAATGTCGTGAGCATGGATGTATGATCGCCAGCCACCAACGCAAGCGATTGCCATGTGTTGATGAAGTCAGATGCTGTGCTCTGGCGGTCCGCGAAACCCGTTAGCGTGTTGTGGTTCAATACGCAGTAGGACGCTCACGCCGAACTGTTGAGAGTCATCACTCGCGCCGACTAGGTGACTGATCTCCGCCATGGCCTGAATGGCGAATATGCCCTTTAGCGCGAGGTTGCTCGAATTCGAGGAGATAGCCCCGTTGTCGATAGACATCCTGCCGGCGAGAGGCAGTTGGTAAAATACATTCTCAATTCATAAGGATGACACATACTGATTCGCAGGAAACAGTGCGTTCTGCTTCAGATAGTTGGCCCACGTCTTGAGCAAGTCGTACTGTATCCATGTGAGCGTGAGCAGTACTGCGCTTCGCACAGACTGAGACGCACATAATCGTAAAGTATTGAAGTATCGTTTGAGTGCTGAGCATAAGCAAGGGCGATGATAAGCATGTTGCTGGTTTCTGCAGACGATTCAGGGGCGTACATAGGTACTGCAAACAGTACATGCTTACGTTCAACCGCCTCGCCGAGCATCAGGGTCGGACCAGATACCTCTGGAAACGAGCTGCCTGGCGTAAATTCAGCGACCTTGAACTGTCGTCCGAAGATAATCATGAAACTTACCTAGGTCTCTCACTGCGTACGGGAATGCTCCGATCGACGCGTTCTGTTGCTCCAGAAGAGGTACCAAGAGCGGTCTGACTAGAGAGGCATTGAAATACAGGAACATCGGCAGCGCAGCATACAAGTTCTCGACGGGAGTAACGCGTCTGTAGAGTGTCGTGTCAGAGATAACGCAGCGAGATAGGCCGGGCGTGGCTGACCGACTAGTCCCTGCATCTTTCATGAAGATTCGCGGTATGCTACCTGACCGACCAATGTCAGAAGGTGCCGTAAGCTCCAGAGAGCTGAATGCCTGTCGAGTGGCGAGAGAGAGCACGTTGAATAGCTTTCCATCAGGAGATATAGTTGAAGCTTCTGCACGGATCGCCTCGTCGAGAGCCGTCGCCGCAGCAAGCGAGTTATTGAAATCGGAGATGAAGAACTCTAACTGCGAGCAGATCAGTCGCATTCATTGTCGAGGATGCAATACGAAACATACGGCGCTCTCAGCGGTACCATACTCTGTAGTGTAGTACGGGCGCAGCGATGTGGTGTTGCCAGACAACGTGTAATTGATAGATGAATCGCGGACGTAACCGACGACCCAGACGACAGCTGAGTCCGTAGAAGATACATTTCCCAGATTGACTGATATGGGGAAGACGGGCCAGTTTCTATGAGACTCGTCAGCTATTGCTCCATGCAGGCGATGAATTTGGACGGTACATTAGGATTGGGCGATAGTCGTAATCACTGTCTTTGCTATTGACGCCTCCTGCGAGCACAAACTCTTCGTGGCAAACTAATGTTGCGCATGTCTGCCAGGTGACGTTGCGGCCTTGTTCCTGATGAGCATGAACCACATTCGGAGAGGGCATCCGTGAGTGTACCAAAGACATCGCATAGTACGCTGTACCGTCAATGGCCTGTTGATCAAATTCCTGAAAAGGTGATGACGTCTCGAGTCGCTCATGATGATATATGATGCTGTCGGTTTGTGTCGAGTTCCACGTAATCTTCTGACCTCGGTCTGTAAGTGTGCCACCATACAGCCATTCTATCAACGATGTTAGTTAGGCATACACACAAACGGTCATCATGACAAAGCATGGTTGTTCTCACCTCCGGTTATGTCTGAGTACAGCTGTACATCATGCGATTGGCCGTCGGTAGATGTGAAGTCCACAGCCAAGTAGGAGAACGGAAGAGACTGGCGTACGAGGTCGGATGGCTTGCTTCGATGTCAGTAGTCTAGAAAGTGAAACAAGCCCGAACAACGCACAGTTATTGGACTCAGAAACGTCAAGGTAACATTTAAAGGGCCAGCCTGGATGACTTGGATGGTGCGAGTTGGAGTCAGCTCTGTCTCGAGCACAGTGCCGGTGTTTACGGAGTAGTTGCTCGAAAGATTGTTATCGCCCATCAAGGTATACGTCTTTCCATCCACCCTGATCGTACATGCCCACCCCAGAGTCTACAATCCCGCGAAATCAGCCTATAACATGACTCAACACGGCAGAATTCCTACCTGCGTTGTCCAAAAGGACGGCCAACTACTCGAAGACGTCGTTGATGTGTTTGTCGTCCACATATACGCATTCAAGTAAGGCGTCCGAGCAGCAAGTGGGATTGCTGCAGGCCGGAACGTCTGTTCCCCATGGGCCTGCAAGAGGGTGAAGCGCGCAATAACAGCCAGAAACAGAAGGAAAATGAACATCGCGCAGGAACTGAGGAAGATTCCGGCCTCCCACCCTAGCGCATAGACACAGGCAGACTTCACTAGAGCGGAACGTTGGCCAGCAGCGGTTCGATGTCAGGGCGAGGCTCCATACGAGTCCTGAGCAGTCCAAAGCAAGTCTTGACGACCACGTCCAGGCAACGTGATTGACTCACAATCGAGACATAAGCTAGGTTCAGGATCGTCCGCATGATTATGGCAACTTATGAGCTACTAGTCGCAACGCTCGCTATCAGGACGATCATCACGAGCGGACATTCGTGCAGAAAGCACAGCTACGGCGATACGCCTCCATCCGAATCATCAGAAGCACAAGTGGCGGTAAGGCTTGTCAGACTCACCACCGTACGAGAGCAATATCCTGACTGGACTCATTGGCTACTGAGTAACTGTGGCCGCATATCTACGCGTTCACATTGCACTAAACGCTTCTCCTGCGAGGCATATAAGTAGTTCCTGCGGAGACATGGAATCCGTACTAATGCAGCACCGTAATCCCATGGGGATAATTGTCACTAGCCGGAGCGGCTGTTGATGGACTATGGACCTCATACGGTAGCTTCAGCGGTGCGACAGCCGCACCGCTCACACGGCTAAGGAACCTAGTGAAGTAATGCGTGGTCAGCGCTCAGCAGTGCATTGTGCATATGTACCCCGCAAGGTGAGCCGCTCCGACGGTATGCTGAGTCTCTCGAAGAAGCAGGTTCAAGTCTCACCTGAGATGCGTTGACGCTCTGAAGCACCGACGCGCTAGAAATACCAGGGCGGCGTACAGAAAGAGTGTTCAAGCGGCGTATTGGTGACAGTGTACGAATGGCAAGCGTCAATCCGAACTGGACAGAAAATGAGAGATGCTGCCATCCGAGAAGCACATCGGCTCCAAGAGGCGATGCTGATCTTGTTCATCTCAAGGCTGAAGTTGATAGTTCAAGTTGCCTTCGGTGCAGCTCATTCATCTGCTCATCAACGTACAATGCTACGCGAACGGTACTGATTAATTACTATCAGAACCTTGCGGATTCACTTGACATGAGTTGGTGACTTACCCCATACACAAGGCAGTGAGGATGGACACTAGCCGCGTTGCTTGCAAACTATCCTGTCGCGTCCGAGTCAGCTCACGGTGTGGACTCGAGAGCACGATGATAGTGAGAGAGTTCGCTCTGCATTTATGTATATAAGCGATGACTTATTTAAGTACTACTTACTACTTATGTATACCTCGCTAAAAGGGTAACCGTTGTATTCAGTCTAATACATGGTGGCTCAATGGTGGCTACCGTGCCTTGCCAATGCCATTCCTGAGTGTGCCTCTAGCAACTTGAACCGGACGATAGCGGACGACACACAGGCCAGAAACTTTGCGAGGTGATACCGTATCCTGTGTACAAGTGAATAGCTGACGAGACCCTATTTCCCGCAGACATAGCTACAGCGTAGGGCGACCCGGCCGGTCTGCTCGACCTCGTATCAGTTTGCTGGTGATAATACAGACTAGACCCGCAACCCCACAAACGGACCATTCAGTGGAATCCGGATCCAGCAAGTACAGCATCATCATTCCAGTCCACCAAGCCAATAACGCCTCACCGCCCACGAGAAGAGTCTCGTCAGCGTAGATTGATGCTCACACTGCGAAGAAGCCTCGTCAGTTGTTACGAACGGCTTCGGACGAAAAGACATACCGTCGAGCACCAATACTGCGGTCGCGCAGTATCCCGGTCACAGCGCTTGAAGCGCGTCGGTCCGAGGAGCTCGCTCTGTCCGCAATAGCAGCACATGTGCGACAGCTCGTCCTCTCCAGGCAAGATCTCGACCTCGTGCGCCACTTGCACACCGCCAGGTTCCGCGACCATCTTGCGCGTGCGCCCGGTTGGACGTATGACCGGCGGGTCTGCCTGGAGCATTGCATTGTATACACCGCCCTTGGGCTCAGTAACGAGGGGATCTCGATCGACGTCGCAGTCGAACCAAATCACTGGATGTTCTGAGGGAGACGATGCGGGTGCGTCTGCTTCGTTGGCTGAAGTGGAACAATTGAGAGTGGCGACTCTGCGGTCATCGGCCATACCGTACGGCTCGGCAAGGACGAGCATGTACTGGTTACGGTTGAGGCTGTCCTTTCGGGCGAGGGCGAAGACTAGGAGGCCTCTGGCATACGCAGGCATTCTGAAGTGTAAGATGGGCATGGCGGAGAGATGATGAGTGGTAGGGAGAACTTGCTGTCGCTGCTATAAGCTGCGAAGACATGCATATACGAGAATGCAGTGCAATGCTGGTCAATCAGACAGCGCCTCTCGGGTCATTTAGGGGGAAGACTTGGGAAGACTCATGTATACGTACAGAGTGAGTATTGCCCGGAATGAACTGCTTCAACTCTGGGTCAGCGAGGCGCTCACTGATCAAGAGGCTCGGTCAGCGCAACACCGCCCAGATCGAGTCGACAAGACGCTGAATGGTATGTGGCCGAACAGAAGGATGATGCAGATGATGACGGCGAGGACAAGTTCGAATCTGTTCGACCTTGTCGAACGGCAGCGTTTCAACACTGACACGGTGCGTCCGTCTCTGAATCTGGCTACCAACGTAGTACCGCTCAGACTGTTGAACGCAGATGGGCGCCGCTCGGCCTACTCATGCTACGATCCGATGGTTCTCCCTATGCTTCTCTTGGGCTGTTCCGTGCCGGCGCATGCTGTCCTCTGTGGACTGCTGCCGACAATAGTAGTTCTGGTCTCGTGCCATAAGTTGGACGTGGACTCCCGACGATATCCCTCTCAGGATATCTGGCATACCCTCAGCCTCTCCATACCGAGAACACTCGTAGCAACCTGTGAGCTAACACCATCTGCCATTAGTGCGGGATGTCGTACTCACACTACACATTCAGCTGTGAGGTGCTATCAAGACACGCCATGTTCACTCTTTGCTTGCTAATGATCCAGTTTCTCATGTGTATCCTGGTCAACGCTACCCCCATTCCTAACAGGCTGTCCACTTCAGAGGTGCGTAATGGGTTTCCAGTCTTACTGAAGCTACTCGTTATACTGTGATAATGGCATCACTTTCTCGACAGAATGCCACGTTAGTCGGCGCAAACGGTACTACTGTACGTAACCTACCACCACACCCGCCCTTCAGACCTCGCTCAGGTGAGTCTCGCCGTAGGCGTTACCCATTCAGATACCCATATCGTCACTGATGCATCTGGTCTTGTACTCGATGCAGCGATAGAACACTTCAAACGTGACCGTGAAGGTGCCGAATCATTCTGCTAAAACTCATGGCTTTACCTGATGTCGTCGAACAGAGTTCATTGGATGGCATGGGACCAACTCTGTGCGTGTCATGGTACAACCTGTACGCGCATATTATAAATCTTCGTCAGATAACCGCAGGATTCTGGGCTCAGCGGCTGTCGTTGGAGAGACCACCCATACAACAGAGTTTCTCGGAATACCTGGGGTTTACTAGTTCTGCGTCTGCGAAGCTTACGTCGGGTGCTGACGAGCAGTCAGGTAAAGCAAGTGATACCCCTCTGTTACTCTCTTTCTCATCGCCGCCTTCGTTGAGACAGGCGTCGGGTTGTACGTCACTGATGATCGCGAGACGTATGTCTACATTTTTCAACAACACCTCGGTAAACTGAAGGGCTACTTGTCTTATAGCGCTGAGATCTTCGCGCGCATGAACCAGCGCAGAAATCCGGGGACTGAACCAAGTGTATGCGCCATATTTGCGCGTTCATCGGACGACTGGCGGAACGGTATCACGAAGGTTCGCAGTTCATCGCTGTGATCAACAAGCTAGCCTGAGAGTTTGATCAAATGCTCAACAGGTCTTCATTCCGAACGAACTCGTTGGCGACGCAGAAGACAAGACAGAGAAGGCCAAATGGGAGAAGAACAGAGTGACATACCTGAAGAAGGAAGCAACTGGAGTTCCAACTAAGTCCATCGTAAGGATCAGTCGCATCGACAAGTACCGTAGTACGTAACGACATCCCCAACGTGTCTTCATCGCCAGCTGTATCACTGATTCACTCTCCTTAGAGGACTTTACCAACCAGAATCAACTGTTACTGCCCAACAGTGTTACAAGCAGGTTCTCCGCCCTCTGCGCCCCTCCTGATCACCCGATTACCTCCACCCGTGTCCCACATAACCGTTTGAACTACTTGTCGACAGATCTTCAGACAGCATGGAAAGTGAAGGGTACCGAACACATGTAGTGTACTTACCTTCAACCAGAATGTCATGTATACCCTTCGCCTTCCACATTGTCTGGAGTGGCTCAATCGGTGAATCAGACATTCTGCCATTGGTTCGCGAAGTGTAGGGCGGCCTCCATTAGGAGCCCGAGTGAATGAACTCGTCCCGACTGTGGGAGTAGACCAGCCCCAAAACTGTGATGTGGCATTGGTACGCCGAGGAGTAACAGTGCTAATATGCAAACTTATTAAGTAGGCACTTTCGGTACATACTGACACATACAGATTATTCACAAGAGACAGATGACCTTGTCATGAACAATCAAGCCACTGGAGTCGACTGTTCAGGAGAGACTAGCATATGTTATAAACACGACTCCGAGACGCGTCAGACATGCTAGAGGTTCCACGCACTAAGTATTACAAAGTCACTCGACGATGGGAGGTATCAAGGCTAACATGTAGTTACGCCTTCCGATCGCTCGTACTGTGAGTCATTCAGTGTACCGACGTGAATTGATTGGAGACCGGAAGTCGCTGGTTCGAGGCTACCGGTAACGAGTCGAAATCATGGGGGTAGAGTTCAACTGCACTTGGCTGGTTGTTACCAAGACTTCGTCTGGCGTTGAGACTACATATCGTAGGAAATCAATCAACGACTTTCGGGTTACAAGACTTCGGGGCCCACTTAGCTAGCAGTGAGTTCGCGTATACTACGACAGGGATAATACCATGAGTGGTGAAGCGAGATGACTCATATCTTATGACGTACGTTTGCATTGCAACTGCGCGAGCCCGCCATAGAGGAGACCGCCGTGGTCTAGCACAAACTGATACAACGGTATATGTCACACTAGACAAAATTGATGCAGCACAGCACGCACCGTCAGCAGCGTAGCTATCGAGGTCATCCTGTTGTACATCCATTAAGTCAATGCTAGTAGTACAACAACGGAATGATCGTTACTTGCATTGTTATGAGCCCCATGTTTATCGAGTAGAACATGAATGTTCGTATGATGTATTCCGTCCTGTATAGCGATGCCTATGTGAGCGCGCTTGATGACACTGAACGAGCACATACCCACGCAGCCCAGTCCGTCTTCGGTGGAGGTAGTACGTTTGGCTCGCAGTAATGACTACATCATTCGCAGCCGCACACGCTAGTGAGACAGACAGGACGATCTACGGCACTCATCGATATATACACAATGACGCCCTAGCATGATACGTACCTTTGCCGTAGCATCCTCGCGATAGTTTCGCCAGCCAAATGCAGTGAACCTATCGGATGTTTTAGCCAGCCGGAGATCTTGTAGAATTAGGGTCGGGCGCACATCCAAACGGCAGTAACTATGCACATCATATGAGCGTGGACGGGTACATCAATGCACAATCACTCACCACATCCCAACGCTGGTGAACAAGATAGTCAACGAGACGGCGTACGGTGGGAGGGGGCTTACCAATGCGGGCGACGGTCAGGAACATCTAGAACCATGTTAACAAATTCGTAATGCGGCTCACACGGCAGAAGACGTACAGGGATCACCAGCACTTTGTAATTCTTCTCACTGACTAGGACATTCTCAGCGGTCTTTCTTATGCACCGAATACCTCAGCTTGTGGAGGTGACGCACACAGCCAAACTCTATGCATATAGAAGCTAATCATTTGTCAACGCCTGTCGTTGTTGTTCATGAGCACCTTTTGCAGACGTACCATTGAACCATCATGACAGTTGAGGTCTGGTAAAAACGATTGACGCAGTCGGTCGACAAATCCTGAGAGCGCCCTAGCGCCATCATACCTCAAGCGGGGACGTGATCTGAGTATATGAGAAATTCAGTCGTATGTGACATGTCTCAGCATTGACGTGGAAACCTACTGCAGCGGTCCTACACCCCAAATTCATGAGCATCGAGGATCAGGCAATAACGCAATGACAGCGAGGGTGGCTTACCAATGAAGCACATTGATTTTCGCCGCCATACCATGCCATTGGACCGAGTAGGTATATAACATGACTGCGCAAGCAATGGTGTGTACGATCTCCAGGAACCTACCGCCACGAAAGGCAGTCAGTGAGGGGTGGTTTTGGTCATTCCAGAATAGCAGACGTGCATCACAACGTAGATTGTAGCCTTCACGCGTCTCCTGTCTTCAGGATACCAGCGCTGATACAAGCAAAATTGACACAAGGCTACGTCGGATAGCCTGCAAGACAACGAACCGTGAGTCTCGCTCTAATGAGGGAATTGTCGAGGACGGAACGTACATGAATGTTGGGATTAAAGCCACAAAGACACCCCGGGAGGTTGCTCGAGAACCCATCGCAACTGGAGTAATTGTACAGAGCCGATGAGCGGATACGAAGAATAGTCGACGGCAGCTGCCCTATATACATGGTCATACCGCCTATTTCGTATCGACGAGATCAGTATGGACACGATGATGGTGAGCGCGCAAAGAGGGCGCGCCACAGGCGACGCACGGAATCGAACTCCCGCAGCACGAAGCCGAGGCCAGTCTTCTGCGATCAACAATGTCTTCCATTGCAGAAGCCTGGGCGCTGCTGACCTGTGTCGCGGCGGATTACCATCCCTGACGCTGGAGATGACACCGCCACGGACCTCTGCCGGTCGCCTGAAATCCGGTCGCCCTGCCATTGACTCGTGTCGCTCAACATCCTTGACAAGTCTGGCCCGAGCGCAGTGTATCCGGGCACTGAGAGTCGTCTTCCCCCCTACTGGCACCCGGGATGCTAAGTGGTTCATTGATGAAGTTGCGGCCCCACGTACCAATACGCACTAATATCGTCACGGAACGACCTCCGAAGCCAAGTCGGGACGCGCTACCTTCCTCATGCATAGCTCTTCCTGATTCCCACACTGCACAGCTTCTCTCAGAAGATCGTTACGCACATCACGAACTTCCCTCGGACTCCTGTAGTAGTGCGGTCAGATTGGCAGTGCATATATGCACTTAGAGCGCGACATAGATCATAGATGGCCCAGACGGAGCCTGAGGGTCAAAGACTCTGCATTCCGGCAGCTTGTACTGCGGAAACCTGAAACTACACTGAACACTGGCAAGACGTCGAATCAACGCTTGCTGCGGTGTTCATCATTAAAACATATGCACGCACCCGTAACATGTTGACGAACATTCTTTCCGCCAGCCTTGTGCGCCCATTGTTGATCCACGGCGGCCGAACTCTTGTAGAACTTCTTGTCTCATTCGTGCCCAGCGCTGCATGCTCCAAGATATCCTTCTAATATGTCATACCATCGCTGAGCATTGTTGATCACGTCTCCATTCTTGGGTTCTCGCAGCTTTACATGTCGTACCGCTTTCAACGTCGCTGCCCTCCGCGCCTGAGGGAAACTCTTCGGCATTGCGAAAATCGCCTTCTTCGCACAAAGAGATACGCTATAGTTATGCCAGTGAGCTATCCCCTGTATATCCCGGCTCCATCACGAACCATCCAGGTAGCCGCATACGTACTGAATCCAGACACTCGTTCGGGATGTCAGCGCATGTTCTACATCTAGACTGAACTTAGACTGAACTCGCATTATCGTTGCGACGTCATCTCCAGTCGAGATGAGAAGGCACTCACCATTATAGACCACTCTGATATTTGGACAGGAAGTGACTGTCGTACTCGTAGAAAATCAAACGCAAACGTGGACGTGGATTGAGTCTGGGAGAAGGCGCAATACGAGCGTTTGGATCACTGGAAAAGCATGATCAGCACTGACATTCAAAAAGCTAAAACACCATAAGGTTAAGATTGTCATGGACATACCCTAAGTACTAGCAGCTGGCTACGGTCCGGCATGCCACGACCCGCGCGAGGTGATTCGTGGAACGACGAAGACATACTCAGCACGTCACATTGACAGTGCCATACTACGTAATGTGCGTTGCAAGGACCTGCCCAATGAAAGTAGTGTTCCGTGCGATGCGTCGACGCGGACGGCTGGATTCCTGAATGCCGTCCCACAGAGTTACAGAGAGCTCAATTGATGGTCCGACAGAAGCGTTGTAATCCTCCAGAGAGCATAGCTGCGGATTTGACGCGAATGTGACCAGGTTAAGTAACAGATGAGGATGATCGACGCGGAGGAGAAGGAGGGTCGACCCAAGTTCGACCCAGCAGTGCAATTACATAATACAGTCTACTAATAAGTTACTCCACTACGTAACTTACAGTCACTCAAGTACTATATCGGGCCACGATCTGAGCCACCCTAGGTAATGGGCCATCGTGGCCTACAGCGCGTTCTACTCCTTCTATCGCCACACTTTCGATATCTACAGCTTGCTATATGTCCCACCATGCACTATGCTCACTCACACGCCCATACAGCAAAGGTTTGGAGCAGGGCGGCGATTATGAGGGAGGGTACCCCGATTTGGTAAGTGTCAGCTGAGAAGCCCCGACCTACGGACGCCTTCTTTCATCTTACTCTCAGCCCTCTACCGCGCGACAACTCTACTGCCATAAGCATACCTACGCCCATCCCTGCACGCACTCTCAGGCCCACCAACGATGCCTGACAACGTATGAGGCCATATCGAGGTTTGGGGTATGCTGATCAGGGTTCCGCCGACTATGTGCAACTACATTGCTAAGCTTCGAGACGTGCAATCCAAACTGGTATGTTTGCATAGTCAGAGCTTCGGTCTTTCATATCTGAAGGTTCACTTATTTTTAGGTATTTTATTTCACCCAGAATCACACTCGCAATAGGACCGCTCAACCGCTGATCGAGACGACGACCACGGCGAACTACATGAATACGGCAGGGCCAACGCGAGGTTCAACACCATAAATAGGTATGTCCATTGTTTCTCAAGCAGATCATACATATTCGCCTCGATCTTCGCCATCCAGGACTCGACAACATGCATGCCACTTCCTCGCCATCCCCAAGCTCGGGTCCATCCCCTCAAGCCAGCGCAAACTTACCAATCTCGTGCTCACTAGTTATGAGGGTGGATGGGTGGGAATGACGACATGGGGTCTGCAGTATATAAGGCAGAAGTTCGCAGTGAGTGCTCTTCAGACTCGGACACTCCCCAGCTCGCAATCAGATCTCTCTGCTGCCGCCTCACCTCGCAAACATCATGCCCTCTCAGCTGTGGCCCGAAGACTCTGACGTGGACAGTGACGAAGCACCCGAGCTGCAGTCAGTTACTGACACCGATAGCGAGCGCGACTTTGACGACGAAGACCATGACCTCGATGATCAAGAGAGTATTGAAGACGACGATGACTCCGATGGCGAGATCTGGACCGACATAGATAGTTCGGAGGACGAGATGAGCAATGACGGCGATGCTGGTGAGTGGCCGCGTCTCGGAGTAGAGACACTGCCGTGCTGACATACGATTTTGCACAGTAGATGAAGATGATAAAGATCGCAGTAACGGTAGCGGTGCCGATGTGCATGCCGATGCGCAGATCAAGTGAGTACTAGCATCAGGAAAAATGACAATCCCTAGGTCAGCCAATATAGGGGACATAGTTGGTATAGGCTCATTGCAATCCCCCCTGTGTATAGCATGCTTGCAGAATCTGTAGTGATCTGTAGCAGGTCATAGTACCACCATGGTCAACATAGAACAGCATAGTACACAATAGAATGATAGTACTATAGGCCCATAAGCCAACATACTGAGACATATTCCATCATAGTAGACATCTCAAAGCATAGCACTGATAATATGGGATCATACTGGTCACTCGGTCGTCCCCAGCTCATATAACAGAAAGAACATCAAATAAAATGTAATAGATTGCAAGATGACACAGTATTACAACTACGAAAACAAGTATTGTATGCATAGACAGAGCACACATGTGTCCCGTGCTCAACCAGTACCCGTACCCACCCCGGGCACCCCGGGTACCAACCCGCTGCAGCAGTACAGGTTGTGCAAGTCAAAGCGAGATCAGGCGGGTGAGAGCGGGTAGGCAGGCGTGAGGTACGCAGACGGGCGAGAGTGGACAGGGGGTCGAGAAGGTACGTGTGGAAAGGAAAGCGGGCAGCCGGGCAAGAGCAGGCGCGTGGTCGACTAGGTGAGTAGGTAAGTACTAAGTGGGCGAAAAGGCGGGCGAGGCGCAACACGGCCGTCTGTCTTGCTGCGACGGCGAGCATCCTACGTATGCGTGGTAGAGGCGCACGCACCTCAACAAGCACCTTGGCATATCAGTTAGTCGTAGAGGTGGGCGAATTCCTCGAGCTGGCGGATGATGCTGCCCATGAAGCCGTATTTGAAGCGGACGAGAGCGGGGTGAGACAGTCCGGTCAGGCCTGACAGTGAGGTCGCTGGGACTGACAAAGTTTGCGCCGCCGGTGTACTCACCTAAGCTAGTACGAGGTCGAGCGAGCGAGTGGGCAAAAACAGGTGGGCAAGACGCGTGAACGAGCGGGCAGGACGCGTGCGCGAGCGGACAAGAATTCCCAGGTGGGCAAGAGGGGGCGGGAGAGGCGAAAGCGAGCGGGTCGGCTAGCAAAAGAACGAGGCCGGCAAGGGCGAGCGGGCGGGCGGGCGAGCGAGAGGACGAGCGAGCGAGAGGACGAGCGAGAGGACGAGCGGGCGGGCGAGCGAGAGGGCAGGCGGGTGGGCGAGAGGGCGGGCGAGAGGGCGGGCGAGAGGGCGAGAGGGCGAGCGAGCGGGCAAGCAAAGCGGGCGGATGGGCAAGCGAACGAGGGGGAGAGCGGGAAAGCGAGGGGACGAGGGCGCGAGCAAGCGGACGAGTCGAGCGCACGTGGAATGCATCCGGGTCTTCGTCCGGTGCAGGGGTGATTGATGTCGCACTTGATGAGCTGGGAGAAGACGGGAGGCGGGGCGGAGATGACCGTGGGGGCGTTGCGACGAGGGACAGCGCTTGCGGGAGTGGTGTGGAAGCGGGCGTGAGATGCGGAGAGGAACCGAGGTCGAGTGGTAGGCGAGGTGGATTGACTGGATGACGGTCGACTCTTTGGCACAGATAGAGAGGCAGACAGTACCCGAGGACTGCCGTCGCTGGCAGTGGCATAAGTAGATGTAGCCCGACTGTTTGAGGCCGAGGGTTGTGCAGAGCCGTTGGAGAGATGGCGCGCGTCAGTGTAAGACGTCTTTGACGAGCGCGCCTGACTTGACGGGGGCCGCTCGGCGTAGGCAAGCTGGACGGAGCCGTTCGAGACGACGGACTGCCGTGCCTTTGCGACGACGCTCGCCTGCTCGAAGTATGCGCTGTCCTCGACCGGCCTACTCCACCGTAGTGTCGTGCTCCTGCGGTCGACACCCAAGACTGCGACGTCGACTGCTGCGTGACTTATACACAGCTGGCCCATCGAGTCGGGGCACTCACCTAGCGAGCCTCCACTGAGGCTCATTACGGCTGCGTGCCGTGCACCTCGCCTCTTGGGAGCGGGCCCGTCCGCGTGTCTTGAAGATATGCGGCGGGCAGGGAGCGGCCGCGAGGGAAGGGAGGTACTTCGAGTTGGAGGCTTGGAGCAGTGAGAGGCGTGTCGTGGCAGTTGTGGCAGCAGTCGGCATTCACCGAAGCGAGCGCTTCGCACTTGCAGACGACGGCGCGCCTCTGCCAGCTGCTCTCTCGCCCACTTCGCTCAGCCGCCTCTCGTCTGCTTCGTCATCTCCAGCCTATCTGCCAAATGCTCCGATGCTCATCTTTCGGCCCTCTCGCAAACTCTTCCGCTCTACCACTCGACTGTGTCAACCCCTGGTCGAACTCGCGGCTCTGGCGACGCCCCCGCCCGATCCAGGACCGAAACGATGCACCTACAAGTCCTGCGTCGAGCGAGAGAGCCGCGCGAACTGCAGGAATAGGGGGTCAGAAGGACAGGAGGAGAGCACGAAGAGGAAGAAAGGGGAAGGGTGTAGTGTGAGTTGGATAGAACGAGCGCGAAGGCTCAAGCTCGAAGGTACGCCCTTACAGCCAGACACACCCCATTCACGGCTGCCCTGATGAAGTCCCGCACCCGCAGGCGTTTGGTGAATGAGAAGTCCGTCGCGCGCCTTGCTGGCCACGAAGACAGCTCCTCCATCGCTCGGGACGACTTCCACGTAGTATCCGCCAGGTATGCGCTGCACGGCCACGTGTCGGACGTGCCTCGCTGCACGTCTGGCGCTCTCAGTTCATTCACGACCAATGTTTGTGTAATTTGTACGTTTATCATGTTGCCCGATGTACACACTGCTGACGAAAACAGTGACCTGTCCCGCGACGCGCGTACTTGCAGAAGCACCCGACGTGTCGATTGATTCCACACGCACGACGGACAATGGCCCGGCAAGGACGAGCGTGAAGAGCGTGTCTAGGACGAACACACTCACAACGAAGACATGCAGCAAGGACAGGCCTGCAGCCCACCAACCACAAGCACAACAGGTACGACGCAGGCGAGCACGATGCAGGTGCGCACGATGCAGGTGAGCACGACACAGACGAGCACGACACAGATGAGCACGACACAGACGAGCACGACACAGACGAGCACGACACAGACGAGCGCGATACACTGGCAGGCAGGTATGCGAGCGCGTCTGGGCGAGTGCGACGGGAGCGAACACAACGGGGATGAACATTAACAGGGCGAACATGGCCAGGGCCGGCCAACACGTTCAGGACGCATACGACGCTTGCGACGCCGTCTAAGTGCACGTAAACAGGGCACTTGCCTGCAGGTACCGAATCAAACTTGTAAGCTGATGGATCGGGAGCGTACGGGCCCGTGTTCAAGGAGACCGAGGATTCATTCCCCTGATACAGTGTGCATAGAAACCTCTAATAGTATATTGTCTACTATGTATAGCCTATGGCTCGGAGTTCCACGTCTGCCTGTAATGTTATCACATCAATTCCTGGAATGAGTCTAAGCTGTGACTCTCGTAGCTTCGGTGATATCACAGTGCACCGATGAGTATCACTGCTATGCGGCATTTGTTTTTATATCCTCGTCAATGGTTTGATATACACAACAGATGAAAGCTATTGACTCCTATGGCCCACTTACACCCGACTACGCTGTACTATGGACAACTATGGATTAATAGATAGTCAATGCTGACGTCTACAGCCCTCTACAGCCCCTATGGCTCCTATCATGGTGATGTAACTTCAGTGGGTGCTATGGCCCGGAAAGCTTTTTCCTGATGTAGTACTCACCTTTACACAATCGAACCGGACAATTGACATGATCATACAGTGACATTACGGAGGCAATGAACTCATCGGCCTTTGAAGCTGCCAGTGAGCCTGAGCTCGCTGCAGATGCAGGTAAGTATTTAATTGGATCGTCTTCCGGGTTGACAAGGATACTAATACTATGTTATACAACCAGGCATTGTCAAGCCACCCAACTATGAGTTCGAGAATCACGAGGAGCGACTTCAGGCGGCAGTTGCTGCTGTTAAGTCGCGCGGCTTGAAGGCAAATGGGCAGCCTGTCTATGCTGTCCGCATCAGGAAAACCCTCTTTTAGCAATAACAACGAATGTTGTATTATTACCGCGAAAGACGAGTAATTGTAGCCATTCGTATGTTCGCTGTAGTAGCAGTATATTCGCTATGGTCGAGAACTCAAATATGAATAACACGATATTGCGAAGAATGCAGCCGTGTTCGGGCCAGGGTTCTACACTATTATATGGATCATTCCCTTTATTCTCTTATTGTTCGCAGTACATTCAGCACACAGACACGTAGGTATCAGAAAACGTGGAATGCATTGCAATGTACTGTTGACGATCCAGGACAATACAGCCAGTACTACTACTACTACTACTTGTCGGCGAGCTACTTCTAATGTATAATACTTGTGAACCACTCGAGATCAGTACCTATCCATCGTATGGCTCCAGCTAACACTTGATGTATGGGGAGAGAGAAAGCACGGGCATGCGAACTAGCGGATGGCCGAGCAGAAGCGCTGTGAGCGAGCGCGAGCGGGTGAGTGTACAACTCAATCAGATAGACAAGTGGGCGGGCAAGAGAGAGCGTGGGCGAGAGATGGGTGGGCGCAAGGGAGCACAGGCAAAATTAGGCGTGGGCAAGAGGCAGCGCAAGCAAGAGGCGACGCAAGCAAGAGATGGCGCAAGCAAGAGACGGCGCAGGCGGGAGGCAGTGCAGGCGAAAGGAGGCACCGGCGGGCGGAGGGTGGGCATGGAGGCGAGAGAGGGTGGGCGGGCGAGAGCTTGAAGCCGCGAGAGGACGCATGCGCAAGACCGACAGGTCGGCAGATGAGCGAGCTGGCAGGAGGATGAGCGTGCGGGCGAGAAAGAGCGGGTGAGCAAGTGGGCGGACGAGAGCGTGCCAGTGAGTGCGTGAGTGAACAGGTAGACACTTAAACGCGTGAGGTAGCAAGAGGGCAACAGTGAGCGGGCGATAGCTACTCACTGGCCCTTCCCTTCTCATGCTCAGCCTCAATGAACTGGATCGCGGCGACGACGTGACCGATGACTTCTGCGTCTTCGGTGACATAGAGGTTGATTTGCTGTCTCTTGGAGCCTGCGCGGCGCCCGTCGGGCTTGAGCCTCGGACCCCATAGAGAGGCACGCACCTCGTGGATGCGTACGCAGCTGCGCATCGCAGTACGGACACTATGATGTTGTACCCGCGGAGCTTCTCCGTGTTCAGCACGCTCAAGAGGTCGCCGATATCAAGTGTCTTCGTGCTCGCTTGCGTTGTTGATGTTGATGAGTCGGTTACCTCGAACATACTGTAACTCAACGGTAGGGAAGGGAAGATGAGTGTGGACACTGTGGAGGGGAGTCATGCGAGTCGCGACGTCGCCAACGTGGCGATGTGAACACGTGATTTGATCCAGATCTCATTCAGGGCAGACATACCTGCCCTTAGGCCATTTGAGTTTACCGTCTCTTGGTCCGCCGCTCCCAGTAACTAGTTACCGCCCTACCACCCAGCACCCTTCCGCAATAGTGCGCTGAATCGGGCGTACACGAGCGCTACCACGAGCAAATCGACGGCTCGAATCAGCACGCGGACGCGGCGGACCGTGGTCAACGAATGGGTGGCTGGCGCGCCAGGGGTGCAGCACAACGTACACGACGACGACGAGCGCGCAGGCCCATACCCTGCGTGCAGACATGGCCGATGGACGGACGATGGACACACGAGCAAAGGGAAGGAAAGATGAGTGCATACGCAGGCGGGTGGGTACGCTAACAACGAACACAGGGTGCAGTGACGTGCAGCACCAGTCTGCTGCACGACGCGTACGGCGACTGCGAGCACGCGGAGCCCTGCATGCAGACACGGCCGGCGAACGGGCTGCCGGGCGTACGAGCGAGCTGACTACCGGGCGGACGAGCAAACAGACTACCCGGGCGGGAAAAGCGGGCAGCCTGAGGCGAGCGGGCGGGTAAGCGGGCTGGCGACAGCACACACGCGCCGACCGCAAGTGCGCCGGGCGAATGCCCAGCACGTCGACGTGGTCGAAGAACGTGCAGCCAGCCAAGCAGGCGGGCGAGCGGGCACACAGGCGGGCGATGACACGCACGGCGACCGCGAGTGTGCATGGCGAATGCCCAGCACACAAGCACAGCCTACGAACGGACCGCGCGCGCGTGAGCAAGGGACGGCAGACAGCGGCAGCGTTGAGGAGGGCCGGGGTGTGCGCCAGCGCGACCCGCCGACCGCGAACACACAGGGCCGGTGCCTGGCTTGCACACGCAGCCGACGAGTGCGCCGTACGTACGGGCACAGTAGCGAGAAGTCAGGAGGGCGTGCGGATGATGCGTGACGAGCGGGGATGCGCGAGCATGAGCGAGCAGGGAGGAAAGGGAGGATGGCAGGTGCAGCCTGAGGTAACAGGCCCAAACTCGCGTCCACTTACCCACTCCGAGTCCGCTCATCTGCCCTTAGTATTCGTCTGCCCGCTCACTGTGAAATGCTAGGTAGCCCGAAATATATATCAGTCTAGATGATTTGTGGTACACAGCATCTATTGTTATTATGACATTGCATTGACAACTCGGGAAGAACCTAAACAATTACTACTGCGTGCACAATCAAAGTAGGAAATTGTCTGATATTACTCGTAATGGACCAAACACGACGCGAAAGTCTCGGAATTCGCGACGTTCCACATGTTAGCGGGATTTTTGGTGCGTTATCGCGAATTCCGGAAAGAGGGTTTTCCTGATGCGCGCGGCTGCGAGAGACTACAGCATCGCCCGCCAGACGCTCGCAGCTCGATACAAGGGGGAGACCCAGTCACGTCAGGATGCGCATGCAAACGAGCGCAAGATTTCGGCTGCGCAGGAAGAGGTCCTCGTCGCATGGATCAAAGAACTTGGGCGGCGCGGTGTTCCCATGTCCCAGCAGGCTGTTCTCGACTACGCATCCGACATCGCAGAGACCCCTCTCGGCGCGACTTGGTACAAGCGCTTTCGGCGCCGCCACCCTGATCTCTCGGTTCGCTGGACAACAAAGCTTGAAGAATGCCGCGCGCTGACGCGACGA